GTGTAACTAAGATAGTTTTTACTGATGCACTTTATGTCGATATCTGGAGCATGAGATGTATTCCCACTGTGGAAAAACCATGCACTTATTAGTTCACATATGATGGTTTGGTCATTATACATCACTCCATCGTGCAGTAAGGAGTGAATGTTGTGACCTGCGTTCTTTCTTATGCGTTTCGAGGGGAGGCAACATAAGGCTTGGGCTTTAGATGCAGTAGTGAGCGCAGTAGGTTCCTTCCTCTGTCTACGCTTGTTGTGTTGACTTTGTACTCCGTCAAGTACAGAATATATCTGGTGCAGGTCACTGATGTATTTTGATATGTAGTACATCCTTTTCAGTTTTCGTAGTTTAGACCTAGTCTTTTTTATTATGTAGGGAGTATTTGTTTTAAAAGCAATTTTAGAGGGTATAGCAGTGTCTAGTGCAGATTCGGTGGTGGTATTGAATATTTTTGATGTTTCTCAGAGATTATCACTGGTAAAGAAACTGCTCCAGTCAGAGTGCTTTATTAGAAATCGAAAATTTTCCCAGTCAGCGTTTGCATAGTCTCTATATTGGAAACGCCTATTTATTGTCTTTCATTTTTTGCACATGGAAATAATCGGAGGGGTGCAGAGGACTGTTTTATGATCGCTGTTGTGAAACTTTTGCCAACCATCATTGATGTTGGCGTGACATTATGACAGAAGATCAACTCAAGAACGTTGTGATTTCGTGTAGGCAGGTGTACATGTTGTTGCCAGCCGTGTATGTCTAAGGATATAAGTATGCTTTCAAAGCACAATGGGCCAGAATGTGTCTTCCAGTTGATGGTGGGAAAGTTGAAATCAGCACATACAATTGTGTAAATGAAGTCAAGCGAGGCAGCCTGAGCAAATGACTCACTTATAATGGTGCCAGTTGAAACAGGAGTTTTAGGAGCTCGATATATGCATTCGATTAGTATTTGACATTCACGAGTGTGCACAGTAAGCCATATGGAATCAGGACATTGGCTGAGGACGTTGTCGCTATAGATTTCCGCTCTCAATTTTTTTTGATATGGAAACAAGACAACCACCACCTTTTTTGATGACTCAATCACAGAGGAAGAGCTCATAGGTGTCTATTTGTAGATATGTGTCTGTGGTATCGGATGATAGCCAACTTTCCGTTATCAAATTAAGTGAAGTGTTGCTTAAAAGTAATAGAGTGAGTAGGTGAGTCAGTTTGCTTTGTACAGATCGAGCGTTGATTAACATAAGTGTCAGGTACGATGACTGTTTTTCAAGTAGAAAGGCATGATACGAAGCCTACTCAAAACCCTGTAATACATAGGAAAAAAAATAATACAAAAAAACGAGAGGGGCTCTAATAGCTTCGATAATAAAAGGAAGATAGCCAATTGTATATCACAATACTGTTTCTAGCACTATATTTTATGTTATAACCACAAATAATCCCATACTCTCAGTTTTTTTCCGAATTGCCTCCATTTGTCGGTTGTATGTCCACTCACACCTTGTCAACACTTATTTTCTTTTACCTATTAAAATTCTCTTTCTTAACAAATACCTTAATAAAAGAAAATTAAACTGAATAACCATACCTTAAACATTCCTTCGTGAATATTGGCTACTCTGCCTCTCGTATTTTCTTGTACTTGCTCCCTCTTTCAGCCCCCTTGTGATATGGAACGAAAGCATTCATCCTGCACCATCCTCAAAGCCTTAGACATTCCAAAGGGACATAAAGTTGCGACATTTAGAAGCTCCAACCTTCAATGGACCTATCCTAGACCAACCCAGCTATGTAATTTACTGCAGTGAATATTGTATCATTTGTATATATTTGATCTTGCCTGTAAACTGGCATGCCTCATGTAAGGAACTGTTATTTGAGAATAAATTATTATTATTATTATTATTATTATTATTATGTAAACCCATTGGATTGTCTGTTTTGCCATGAGAAAATGTAGAATTAGGAGTGTTGACCCCACATTCACGAGCGTTTAGTTTATTAACAATAGCGTAATGCGAGAAAGGTAGTTGGGTGTTGTTTTGATGAACGAAGTATGTTTGAGAGTGATAGTTAGGGTTGAATGGTTAGGCAGTGTGTTTGACAAGAGACCAGGAGGTTCAGTCAAAGAGCTTTTAGGACTAGAGATATTTATCGACGTTGAGAAGGATGTACCACTCCTCATTAGGTCGGAGTATATATATGTAATGTTAGTAATTTTAATTCTAGCCCCTTTGAAGCCACAAGCTGTCAAGCATCATACCGGATGATATGATTACATTGAGAATTTCGAACTCTTTAGAACATAATACAATCATTTAAAGGCACAGTTAAATTTGCTTGGAATGGAGGGATCCATGAACTATTGACTAGAAGCTCGTCGTTGTAAATGTCTCCAACGTGTTATGTTAACCGAGAATTCATGTACTGTCTTACAAACTCGCGTTTATAAAATAACCATACATTTTCTTCCACACTAACAAGCCGAAGTGGTCAGTTATATGTGTCCAGTTAGCCTATTGTGAATTGGAATCTGGGGAAATTAAACTTTAGATATGGCTTGACCTGAACAAACGAACCACCGCCACTGAAACCTAGTTATTATACCAGATGTCAAAACACAGCTATTCTTAAACAACTGTTAGCAATTCCAAGTTGATGTTGAATTTCAAACAGTGTAATTAAGGAAAGCATCAGTATCTTTCAAGAGAGCTTTTATGCTCAGGAAATTAAAAATTCACCTAAGAATCTATGGTGTTTGAATTGACTGATGATACTTTTGTACATGTTGATGGCTTGATTTCGAATTCCAAATACAGTACATTCGTTTGTGCCTATGTCTTCTTAATTCAATTGCGTTATTTCTTGGACTCTTAGTTCGTGCTATAATTCAAACAATTCGAAACATTATACTGGCGTCGCGATTGAGCCTGCAATGGAAAAGTTAGACATTCATTCAACTTCTGAAGCTCTTGAGGATTATTTCGAAAGGTTCGAAATCTGGGTCATGACCAAGGAAGATGATGAGGATGTTAATATTGTGGCATATTTCCTCACATTCATCGGTGAAGAAGCATACAATTTATTAAAAACTCTGGCTATGCCGGAATAGCCTATTTCGCTTCCTTATACAACTCTCAAGGAATTACTACTAGACTATGTCAAGTATACAAATTTTGATTGCAGTAAAGAAGGGAAATTTCCAAAAATAATTCATCAGGACGTCAAAAGTTCTACTACATCACGTCATCTCAATCTAGTGCATACTCAAGTTTATGCAGATAATTCATTGAGGAATTACAGTGCGTTTCACGAAGTTTGGCGCAAGTTTGGTCAATGTTTGTCGGGTGGCAAGTTCCATGCTTTTAATTCATGTAAATTTCGTAATTCTGAATGCTTTAAATGTGATGATATTGGATATATTCATCAGTCTGCAATACTAATGTTCATGTTATTGCAACTAATATTAAGTCTTGTAATTCTGATTCTACTGAGTCGAGTATTTATAATGACGATTTATCTTTATCAACGATTGCAATAGACAGTGAAGAGTCAAAAAGCATTTCAGAGTTAAATCAAATTCAGAATTCTTGCGAAACAACAGTTTCTAAGCAATCGATTTATCAGATTTCTCGTGCTATTGTACCAGGTATGGCTTTTCCTAATGATTCACATATTTCTGATGAAATTTCTTACAAATCTGAGGAAAATATGTTAAATGAACCTATTCATTATCAAAAACCTGAGTCAGTCATGATAGATGCTAATTTTTCTAATGATCCATTGCTCTGCAATGACATCCTTAGTCAATTTCATGAAAATATTTCAGTGGAATCAAATCCTGATGTCATATGTATTACCTATCCTCATGATGCATTTGCTTCTTGTGAAAAACTTGTTCAATGCAAAGCACGAATACTAAATGAGCTCGGTTTTGATTACAATTCTGATGATTTCATATCAACTGTTGTTCATCCTTATCACAAAAACACTTCTAATGTTTACTCTAATCAATGTGAGAAATATGTTTTAAATGAAGCCACATTATTCATAACTTGGTGATATAAAGACCCAACATTATTTCGTGGGGGGGGAATAGCGTTGAAAAATCTATGGTTCCAATTCGAGATATGAATCATTTCAGTACAAAACCGATATGTTGATTGTATACAATTCCAGGTGAGTCTGTTCTGATTTCGTTTGTTAATTCCCATACTAATGAGCACATTCTAGATACTACAAAGTTTTCATCCAGTACAATGGCAAAATAACTAGCTGTGTTATATTATTACGAGTTCGTTCTTGACCTACGAGTAAGTGCGCTATAATAAACATATATTTGGAACACTTCTGGTTAACAGCCATAGTTCCACCTCTAGAAACAGTGTTTTTGAAAGATCTTTTGGAATAGTTTTGACTGTCTAAAGAAGTTTTCAGTGAACTCTACGAAATGAATCCATAATGATATTGGTTTGTGATCTCACAAGTTCCAATGGCTTCGTTCAAATGCGCTGTATTCAGGTAGTACTGAGGCGTAATAGGTAGGCACAAAAACTTTCAAATAGGCACTTGTTCGCCCAGTAAGAAGTGGTTTGTGTGATTTTCGGTGCTCAACAATTTTCACCATCGGTTTACTTCACCGAAAAGAAACTAGGAACTTACCTAGAAACCAGTTAGACAGTGGCATTAAAACTGAAAGTACATTCAGAAGAAAGTCTCTTCCTTTTCACAACGAATAAAAACTACAGGTAACATGATATCCAGTTTAAGGACCATTAAGTATACTTTCATAGTCATTTTCAAAAGATTATATGATATTTATACGTTATTCAGATAATATTTTACACGTTATCTTAACTGTACATAGGAATGCTAACGATATACATTGTCACTATGTTACAGACTCATTATATCATTTTCTCGAAAATTATTCAGTTTGTTTTAATGCGCCATTATTCTTGTTTCTTAGTAAGTATTATTTCAAATCAGTTTGTAGAATGCGTGATACAGCAGAAGACAGCAAGCAAAATTTATGGTAAGTCTGACATATTTCGTTGCTTTACTGATTCAGAAAACCAGTGAAACTATAATTTATGGACGACTATCGAGCGACGCTGAACTAACCTACTTACTAAGGCTAAATGAGGGTTTTAAAGTAGTTTGAAAAGAAAGCAATATGATTTACAGTTGGTGGCCAAGGTTGAGAGTAAGGTTTAGGGTTTTCATCACAAACTGTCATCACCTATAATGCCAAAACTCTATTTAGCTAAATGGATGAGTCAATATCCCCCCAAAATCGAAGACCTAGCTGTTTTCGTAAATCTGATAGATTCATCCCTAATTTATTGTTTCACCGCGTCTCTCATTATATTGGAGATCTACGCCGTGATAAATTCAAATATAAATTCAAACATTTGTGGATGACTACTACAAAAATGTTTGAATATAATGTGGGAATGGCTCGTTTGCAAGGTGAACGTGAAATTATGTTCAGTGAGGTTGTTGGAATTTTGAATAGTCAACAGTAGGCATACGTTTTAACATTTTTATCGAGTTACCGTGACTTAAATTAGTTTCGTTTTAGATCACCTCTGTCAACATTTTTATTAAAATGGAAACATTTCTCTGATTGACTCATCCGTAATGCTGAACATTAGGCACAAATGCAAAACTGTTTATGTATTCAAATGTAGTGCAATAGATATTAACAAATACATTTCAGTAGATCGTTCTGAGGGTTATTTTTAATGAATCACTGGACTGTGAAGTGAATAATAAGTTTTAATTAATAGCTAATTGGAAAGAAAGTTTCCCGGTAAATAAGACTCAGTTTTACTTGAAATCAAATTGTTTACGAATATTTGTAAACTTCCATCATGATTTTGCCTGTTTTTATCGATGGAATCCATGTTTACTTGCGAAAGTTTTAGACACCTTGAATTGTGATGGAAAAGTACATGCAAATGTTAGAGCTAAGAGAACACCTGAAGCTAGTCAAGTCATATTTTTTATTTAATTTAAACTGGGTAGTGAATAAGTTGTCAACAAAACCGATCCATCTCTACCTTATATTCGACTTACAAAAAGTATTCTGGTTTTTTCAACCAGCAATATGAGGGACTACTTAGACACGTACTAAACACTTTGACAAGCTAATGGCTTTTGGAGCAAAACGTAAGCCATATTTATCGCACATGCAGCTGTAGAAGATGAATGAATACAAATCGCTACGATAGAGTCAGATTATACGGAGGTTAATTCAGTAGAAGATGATTCCATCAATACATTAGTTAGTTCGCTTAAACAAACAAAACACGTTTTGTTTGATGTTGGATCCAAGTTGTATGAATAGAAAGTAATCTTGTTTGCAACTATATTGCGGCTATTTACCTATTAATATTCACATTTATAACATAAAGTGAATAACCGAACAACACAGTTTCAATAGGTGTAAAGTATAGACGTTCATGATGAAAGATAGATGACTTTCATCTAGTAGTCATAATTACCAATTCATCAGATTAGTATCCAATGATGTTTGTGTCACACATGTTAAGCTACAGTTTGTTAGTAAAACCGAAAAGGTAGATAATCCCTATACATAAACTGATAATATTCTTTTCATTTAAGCAACCATATTATTAAAGTGAAAGGTATTAAGATAAGGATAATATATCGCCTTCCTCCGGTTTCTGTATGTTTATTGAGAAATACCGTGGGTAAATTTCGACAGATATATCTTTTGCTTGTCTAAAGTTTGTGATGTTGGGGCTTATTATGTTATTTGTACAGAAGTTACAAAGACTTGTTAACACGAAAATATTGAGTGCATGACTATTCTTTATAGTTTTCACATGTTCTTTAAAAAGAGGGAAATTCGGTGTATACAAATAGGTATACAGCAAATTTATCAGCAAAATTGAGTTAGTTGTGAAAAATTGCAACACGATGTTTGATTTTCGGTAATAGTCTATTAGAAAACTCCTGTTATTGTTTACTTAACCAGTTCCAAGTTTTCACAAATTATAATCTTGAGAAATAGTCACTGACATTTATAATGCCAATATATAACTAACAAGTTGGTCTCAACCTATTTCAGTCTAAACATTGTAATGAAGCTTCTGCTCTGGTTGACATTTGTGGATAATTCTCAGGTCTCTGGTATACGGCTTATTGTCGATCATCTTCAGCTATATATGACCACAATAAATGACGATGATTTTGAGTCATGTACACCACTATCCATTTGATCGTTATATACAAGCTTATTGGAATTATTAGTTCAGTCCCAGAAGGGATATTTCAATGTTAGGATAGCCGATTAGAAACAAAAAGGGTTTCTGCTAGCAAAGGGAAAACGTGTAACTTAATTAATCGAATCTATGTGTTAGCTGTGAGATTCTAATGTGATTTTACACAAAAATTATTGTCATATGGTGATTTATTGAAAAACTGGCGTCAAGTGATATATGGTGTGATTTATTTTGAAATTGGATGACACTCATTGTAGATAAATTCAGAAAAATAAATGAATTCAGACAGATTTCTGATTTATCCCTGGTGTATAATAAACCTCTTGTCTTTGATTTCTTTCTTGTGCTGAGATTTGTCACTTTTGCTTAAGTCAAACGAGATCCGTTAAAAACTTTACAAATTAAACGCTTCAGTTGAAGATCGAATATTGTACTTCTCCTCATAGTTTCATCCAGTCAATTCAACAAAATATGACGACAGCAGTCTTCTAGGTAATTCTATTTTGCAAAGATTTCAGCAGATTAATAGTGAGAAATTTAAAAGTACAGAAATGAGAGATTTCTTGCTATCGATTAATTCATAACTATGCATGGTTCCTCCTTTTATATAGGAAGAGTATGACCTGATTTTCATTCACAAACTGTTAGCTGTTTTTCAGTGACCAATCGATAAACATAACAAAATTATAAGAAAAATTGAATAGTTAAAACGGTCATTTACAGAGATATTAGACGTGCTGACCGGATAAATCCAACCAAGAAGGAAATGATACAATTCTTCATCGATAATATTTGATGAGGTCGGTGCTTTCCTCAAAATCTGGTCCACTGAGTTCTGAACCAATAACTAAACAGTGTCCTTCTCATGGCAATAGTCGAGAGTTATTAACTTGATCTCATGTGAATCCAAGGGTGGACTCAAAACGGAGTCCGAAAAGAAATTCACTTACTAATCATTTTTTTGTTTAAACCGAGTTATTTTCACAGGTAACTTATTTTTATTAAGAAACGTACTACTTCTCCAGATTATCATCTTAAGGAATGAAGGGAAGTATGAGTTTGATGAAATGGAACATGTTGATGACTAGATAATTTGTAGTTTTACTTTGAGAACCAACTTGTTTAGTTGCCATAAGAAATTCAGGAATACTTACGTAGCACTTTTCTCTTAGTGTATGATTTCTCGGTATATACCGATAATTGACTCCTATCGGTACATTTTGCAGTCAAAGTAAACAACGGTGACTATCGCAGTTTATCAATTTCGGATGTGAGTGAACGTTCACTATTAGCAAGGTGTGAGGTTGGTTTCATTTCAAAAACTAACTGGAGTTAATGATATAAGCCAACGAATACCAGATAAACAGTTTCAAAGTTATACGACCACTCCGAGACTTGAAGATTCTGCACACTGCTGACGACCGCAATACAAGAATCAAACAGTCGACCACTCCTCTCTGGCTTTATAAAGTTCCCTTAAGAAACTAATTCTGTTATGTTAATCTTGGAATCCAATAACCTTTACAACCTTCTGCTTTCTAAAAACTTAAAAAGTTCAAAAAAGTATTGTGAACAAAAAACACTAACAGTGATTCTAAATTTTCATTTCATAGCCTGAATTCAAACAATGTAATACACATAAATATGAATGAATATTTATCATTTTTCCATACCTTTAAGGATATCTTTACTTGATGAAGTTCAGTCGAATAGAAGAAACGCTTATGGAACACTTGAATCACCTGATAAACCACAATTAATCATTTTCGGCAATGAATCCACCGATAAAACACGAATTATTGAATGTATAAATTCGAATACAGATATTCAATGTGCGATCGGCTTAGATTATCAATTTCTAAATCTTCATGAAGATGGAAGTGAAGGTTAGTAGTTTTTAAGGGTAAAGAGTCTCTCTTAATCAATGATGACGTAATCTATTTCTTCTAAAAATCGCAATTCTCTAAAACAGATGATTTTTGTTTGGAAAAGTTAAGGCATCAAAAGACAATTAGTATATCGTTTGATGAAATACTTCTATAACCTCTTACTGAGTTGTATTCTTAGGAGATTTTCACTAGCCGTATCCATCTGTCAAATTATTTCATTCTCTTTAGTGAAAACAACGATATTCGTTACCACTGATTTCCAAGTTAATCAAGATGCCTACCAGTGACTTGATAATTATCTCTGTAAAAACAACTGATATATGTGTATGTCAGTTTAGCAATATAATATTATTTTAAAGTAATACGTACATTAGTTGTTTTTAATCAAATCAAACATGATTTCCAACTATGCTTTGAAGAATCACTATGAATGAGAACTAGAACTCATTGTCTTATTTGAGATTTGTCGATTGGATAAACCTGCACTGTAAAGTTACTGATATCCGCTTTGATCCTAGATCACGTTCTCGCTGTTATTGAACAAGAATAACTAACAATGTCCTAGATATCGTCACTAGTATATGTTTAGGATATAAAGAAATAGTAAATTTAAATAATACAAAGCAGTTTACTCTGAAGAATTCATATTACAAACAAACAATAACCAACTACAATCCTGAATATCGACAATGTAAGCATATACACCCATCAAATACGCTCATTGACATTGGGTCACATCAATCTAGTGGATTACTCATTAACTTCAAGTCTAAATGAAGAAGTTAACAGCAGAATTTAAATTCATCTCACTTAAAAGTTTCATAAAACATCAGAAGTGTTTATTAGATTTCTTTTATTGTCCATTATTCAAGATATAACCCTCTTATAAATGCAATAATACTTAAGTATCCATTCACTGATTCACATAACTATCATTAATCTTAAATATCAATAATGGAAGAATATAAAAGTATCAAATTATTCAATCATTTTAGACTCTTTACATATGGGTATATGGAGTTTAGATGGTGATCTACAACAAAGTAATTTATTAAAATTTGCTTTAAACAAATCAACTATATGGCATACAATGGGAATAATTTGTATTGATTACACTGAACCATGGTCATTAATTAATGATTTAGAATTATGGTTACAAATTATTGAACAACATATTCATTATTTAAAAATTGATTCAGAAGAAATTGAAAATTTAAAATCAAGTAGTAAGTGAAAAAAAACTAATGAAATTGTTTTAATATATATATATATCAAATTTTATTCGTATTTTTCCCCGCCAAATTCAATTCCCTTAAAGTATTCAAATAAAAACATGAACAGTGATTGAAAGTGTTTTAGAATGATGATCAATAAATGAATAATGATTGAAATGAACGAAAGGTAACATCGTGCGGGGTCGGAATCGTGGTTGCACACTGCTGAGGAGTCCCATACTAGGACGAAACGGCCGTCTAGTGCTTCCAGGTTTTCCATGGTGGTCTAGCTTTAATTGACTCATGATTTCAACCAGTGAAATTTCTAAAATCTCCACAAAACCCATTCCGATAAAAGGTAACATTATCAACTTTAACAAAAATAGTGTGAGCATGACAAATGAATTACATCCATTACTTTGATTATGTAATCAATCAATACCGTATTACTTATAGAAGCATTAAGTGATGTTTATATTTAAACTTTCACTGTTTGAGTTTTGTTGTGGCTTGTGACCGCAGATTAGACGCGCAGCGTTTTATCGATTCGATCAATGACACGTAAAACACGTACGATCAGCCTAGAGTCCGGATTGACCCTGCTTCCCTGTCTAGCCCAGCCAGTTGAGTCCAGAACGCAAGTCTCAGCCTCTGAGATATGAATCGTTATATTTCAAACATACTCTGTTTATATACCAGTCAAGCATACCACATCGTACCATAAAATAGAAAACAACATTTGTACAATATTTAACAAATGAAATATACATTGACCAATAGGAAATGTTCATTTAAAGTCCAAGGACACTATTAGACTTTACAGGATAATTATTGGTATATTTTTCAGAATATCCCAACAAGTTTACTTATCAAAAAGTCTTCTGTATGCTTGTTTTAATGAGAAATTGTTTTAAGCCTTTAATAAATACCTATCTGTCATGTTTTCTATGAGAATTAATGCTTTTTCAGAGAAGGAAAAATAAACCATTTATTGGCATATTGACCAACTACAATGCTTAGCTAAACAAATTATAGTGTCTGACAATATTTTTCCATGAAACTTTTCTCTATACATTTAACTTTGTTTAATAAAATTACCAAAAATGAAGTTATTACTAGATCAAGTGAGTTAGCTTGAACGAATGAGATTATTTGGTATAAATACTAGAAAATGTGAAAAAAATGGTCAATTTCGTTTTCAGGGACATACGTTGTCATATTGTAATGTGATCTTGATAGTTTTAAATAAATTGGGTATTGAGTAGAAAGTTAAGTCAATTTGTTATATTCCAATGAGTACAAAAATTGTATTTCTGACGTTTTGTGACTTAATGTAAGCCACTTCTTCAAAGTAAATAAAGAAGAGAATTAAATTAAATGAAGTGACAAAACATCAGTAATAAAATGTTTCTACCCAATGGGTTATAAAATAATTATATTTATTATTACAATATGGTGCAGCTATGATTTTGCTTTATTGTGACCAAGCTACTCCTATTGCTTAGTAATCTTGGACACTACATCACTCGACAAGTCGCCAAATCAGAACACAGTTAAACATGAAGTTAATTATATTCCAAATAAAAAAGTTGGATGGAATTAGGAATCACAACAGAAGAAACCTCAGTATATTTATAGTTTTTTTTCATGAGAAGATTCTGGAGTCATCTTTATGTATCCACTAGCGCTGATTGGATAAGATATAGCCAGTCAGAGTATCCCACCATAATCGTTCACGGAACATGCTTTAACCCAATATACATAACCTGCTAAAAGATATTTATTACACTATTCACCTTATTGATCCGTAGAAGTATCTTTCGGTATTTTTGTTCTGCAAAATACATTCGAATTATTTTTAACTCCTTTTCATTTTTGTCCAGTTGTCTACAATTTTAAAATGTTCACTGATTCATCAATAGTTAAAGATGACGGAACAAAATCTTCTATGAATTTGCGACATCAATTAAGTCTTCAGTCACAAAATATTGTTAAAGATCAATTTGAAAATACTAAATGGTCATATAGTCCATTACATCCGAAACCGATAGATAGTTCTACTTTAATATCATACTCTCTACAACCGAATCAATCAGTGCAAAATGATGAACAACAACAGAATGATCAAGATGATCAGTCAAATGAAAATTCACTTGAACAGGAACAACAAAAACAATCGAATAAATGGCTTAAAAAATTTATTACTGAAGGTGTAATGAATAAATTACTTCCTATACCGATTATGATTGTTGTTACAAAAGTGAGCGATTTCAGACTGTAAAGTATTTTTCTTATCCATATCTATATCCAAATCCATATCCGTTTCTATATCTATATCTCTCTATCTATCTATCTCTTAATTTTCATAATTGTTATTAGTTTATGACATGGAGTTAGCAACCCCATCTCGTAGAAAATAACCTAGATAACGAGAATAAACCATTTAAACTCTGACATGGGATTTGAAACATCTTTATTCAGGAGAATTATAACGCCTCATGGTGAGAGAAGAGATTCTTCCGGGGTCACAAGGCTAATGTACATGAAGTGTTCGCACAATGTGGGATACAAGGAGGACTAATCAGTTAGCTAAAGATATAAGACGATACAACTTGACGGTGCTCGGAATCAGCAAAACATCTCGAGGTTCGCAAAGGATGCTGCTGTACTCTGGATACGAAGAAGAAAACGGTCCGGATACTCAGGGTGGGAATCTCATGGATCCACAATCATGAAACCATCCTTCAAAAAAATGAGGTGATCGCAGTGAATGTTATCCAATGCTATGCACCCAACAATGATGGCAATGATGACGATAAAGATCAGTTCTATGAGACTCCGCAATTGACCGTGGAGAAATGCTCAGGATAGGACCTAACCATCCTTATGGGTGACTTATATGCCAAACTTGGAATGGACAACAGGTATGAGTATATAACTAGACGACATGGACCAAAACAAATGAACGTATACGTCGGGAGATTTACAAATTTATATGCAGTCAACAAAATTGTTACAGGCGGCACAATATTCCCCTACAAACTCATATATTAGGCTACATGGATTTCTCTGGAACACACTACACAGAACCAGATCGATCATATTTGTAACAGGTGTCAAGAAGTTGCTATATTACACTGACGTGTAATGATAGACACTTCCAACTAAATTCTTTCATGTCAGTAATATAAACTCATTTTCTAATTATGATTCTTCAATATCACAGGTCGTCAGCGGCTAAGAATGATCAAACGAAATAAAATGAATTTATGTTATTCTGTTAAACATTTTGATCTTGTTCTCATCAAGATGACAAAAGGAAGTTTATATATGACAATTCAAAACAAAAAGTACAGACTATTGATTTTCATAATAATCTTTGAATAAACAAAAAAGTTATTTATGCTTGATATATATGTAAGTTGTAAATGTAGTTGAACAGTTATTCATACACATTTGTACCCTTCAATATCACCTTTGACTTAAACAACGATTGTGACTTGAAATTTAAAGTTTCCTAGTGTATGTTACTATGCTTAGATATACGTCTATATATCTATACAGGCAAGTACTGATTATGTTCATTTATTGATTAATTCACTAAAGTGACTTTTTCTTTTGTAATGAGATATTTTGTTTAAGTAGTTCGATTATTTTTTAGGCGGTTTTCTTTTCTTGAAATTTTGTCCTATGCCAATGATATTTATTGTCACAAGAATAAACGCATTTCAATTAATTCAATTAAAATGAAATATTAACACGATATTATGCGTTAGTTAGTGTAGTTCAGTATATTAGAGTAGTTGAATGAATGTATGGGATTAATCGATATGATTTGCTTTTACAATTTCTATAGCCCATATTATTTACTAGAGTACTGTAATTAAATATTCTAAATTACCATTCAGTCACATGTGCTCACTAGTGACTATGTTTGTGAGAAAATTTTCGTAGTTCTAGTGCGAAGCCGTGACCACTGGAGTTAATCCGTGTCTGGTAAATGGTCGCGCAATTTTGTGGATTGGTGGAAGTTAGACATTAACACTTTCGGATGCTGGCTCAGTGGTCTAGTAGTTAAGCGTTCGTGAGCAAGACTGAGGGCCCCGGGTTCGAATCCTTTGAAAGAGATCGTGGATGCGGGCTGTTGAGGCGTACCAGGACGAAACACCCGTTCAGTGCATACAGATTTTCAATGGTGGTCTAACATCAATCAGTTCATGATTTCAATCAAATAATGTTTTTAAACGTTGAGCAATGATATGTAATTAAATATATGTTATGGATTCTGTTCTATTTAGGATTCGTTAGCAGGATGAACAATCATCTCGGTATTGACGTTCATACTGAGTACCAAATGCATCACATAATCACTTCAAACATCAATGCGTTATCCACTGTAATGGTGAATTCAGATAATCACTAGTTTATTCAACAGATAATCGATTGACTTGTAAATGTTTGTATTTTCCAGTTTGGTTACATACAAGATTGCGAGTGATCAGAAATATTCACTCCAAATCCTAGGAAAACATAAATTTCTTGGAAACGATTATTTTAATAAATTTCATCAGTGTAACAAAGAAACGGACGGCCGTTTCGTCCTGGTGTGGGACTCCTCAGCAGTTCGCATCCACGATCTCGTACGGAAGGGACTTGAACTCAAGACCTATCGGTCTCGTGTGTGAATGCTCATGAATTCAACTATTAAAATAATCAAAATTATCAGAAAGAAATTCATTCAAAAAGATTTGGGAATGACTAATTTGTTCCCTTTTTTCGACTTTTCTTTATCTTTTTTTGTGAACATTTGTAGACAGATATGACTGATATTCTTGAAAAGGAATTCGGTTTCACAGATGAAAAATTTGATTACATTCTATATCATCTACGTAAATTATGCCTTGAATGTATCCTTTTCTAAATGTTAAAATAATTTTGATAAAAATAAATAAAATATGACTGATGAAATTAATGAAAAACATTGATTTCGATGTGTTGATTTGAAATAGTCGACTGAGAAAAACTCCTTAGAAACAAGTTGTTTCGTAAGTATCATTCATCCGCAAAGTGTTTTGTCAATATTGAAGGGAATGCAGTTCTTCATTGGAGTAACGACCTTATCATTATGTTATTTAGGTCTATACTGATCTACTCGATACTCATCCCATGATATTACGCGAGATTGTGTTTAGAGCTTTCATATTTCATAGCAAATATAATATTATTTATAAGTACAGTTCAATTTTAACATTTCTCAATCCAAACTTCATTTGGTTTATATTACATGTATATTAACATGAAGAGTTTTTCTGAAGTTAGTTCATTTCACTGACATGCTTGTCCGGGACAATCAAAACACACTGAGTACCACAGAAATGTTCTATTTCATCATGAGATTGATAATCAATCAATAGTTGTGATTCAGGTAAATAATGGACTTTAGGTCTTGTGGGCCATCTGAAACGAAAAGACCTTCTAACTTCCCTACAGTAGGTTCATGATTGAAGATTGTAGAGAGAAATTAATATTAGAATAAAACAAATGATCACTACTTCTTGGTTCTCAGTATTTACTAGCATCAATGCTCTGCTGTATTACCTTAAATAAATATGCATGTAAACAAATCAAAACATTCGACAAGATGGAGCTGCTTTAATCTATTTGTCAATCAAAGAGGACATCAATACAAATACTTTGGTTAATTATATTAAACATCGTCTATTTGATCTACCATTGAAAAATTCAGCTATGCTCGTTGATCCAAAAGCTATTTTTATGTAAGTTCTAATTATGTTTTTGATATTTCTTTTACAATGCAGTTTAGTTGAGTCGTTGTTCAGATGGGCTGTTGTAGTTCCTAATCAGTCTCTACAATGTTTCAATGTCTACTTACAAGTCATATCTATTAAGATCATTACTAACTGAATATTATTTATGATCGACATATTAGGAAGACTAAATTCGCCTTGAAAATAATCAGTATTCTGATAAGTAATATATACCCATATACTTTATTTGAATAGAAGAAAAGAGCTAAGGGAAGTAACCATTTTAACACTGTCAAATAGTTTTTAATGTTTATTTTATGCACTGAATTATGGGAAACTGACATTTCCACTGGGAACTATATTTTTCACGATTCTTCCGACTCTGTTGTTATTACAACTACTATCTGTTCACACTCATGTTTTCTTCAATTCGATCTTTTCAATTTACTGTTTGCAGGTTTTTAACTTCTCATTGGTGTCACACACTACTTATATTTGTCAACATAACTAGCTTCCACCGCAGTATTACCTAAAGGCAAACAATTATTTATATCCTTCTCATTATTAGCACATACCTTTCTCAGTAAGACATTTTTTCGATGTCTAATGTGCATTCATAGATATAGATGTGTATCATTTAATAAGATTCTGTAGTTTTGCGTTGTGGATGAAAAGGTTTACGACTGATCAGTGCCTGTTACTACACAAGATGAATGGTTTGTCTCAATATAGCGTTTAGTATATAGCTTGTAATAGAAATAGAATACAGGACTCATGTTTCACTTTAGTTTCGATGCAACCATCTGTTGAAGTACTTGATGAACAAGTTGGTATTTAATTGAACTCATAATTTCAGTAGATAACGTACTGGATTTTGAAATGAATGATAACGGGTTCAAGTCTCTGTGTATTTGTTTGATCAATTAAGTTGATTTGAATTAAGTATGTGAATAACAGATATGGTTATTTTATACAAACATGCTTCTGAAAATAATTATTGGACTAACAGAAACTTATTTTTATAGCAATAAGTGAAGTTATACAAGCATATAGAGAGCTAATTGGAATCACTTACTGTTATGTAATGTTAAAATCGATAACAATCTTTTGTTATTATATATTATTAAGCAAATTATTCACATCAAAAAGTGTATTTCAGATCTTTTAAAATGATCTATGGATATTTGAGGAAACTGTGATTCGTCAACTTGATTTATCTGGATCCTAGTCGTAATGTTCATATTGAAACTAAAAGTCAGTAGATTTCGTTTAAAACACTCAACTCATTATCAACTGAGATCAGATAGTTATTAGTATGTTGAATTGGTATGATGTTTATATCATTATTAGAAAAGGTTTTAAGCAAAATGTACTAGGTTCAAGTTCCAATGTATGCACCATCAATGTTATTTATTTATTTGAACACATAAATATTGGCACAAGAAGACACCAAATATATATGCGCCACACAAAACAATGACAATTCGAAGAGAAGAAGGAAAAAAAAGAAAAGGTAAGGAGCGTTAGAAAAAAGAACAATAACGAGCAGATTAGTGTAAGGTAGTGTAATAGTGATAATAGAGAAAAACAGAAACGTACAATCAGAAGAGATCTTTCAGTTAAGGAAGAAGTAACCAATTTTTATGCAGAAAGTAAAAGGTTACAGCAGGATCACTACTGGCTCCTATTCTGAACCATATCTGATAACGTCTCTAGCCACTGTGTAGCACCATCTCTCGGACCCCAACAAGGGAGTCGTGAAGGACCAACAGAAGCCAGTCTTTTGCAGCTTTCTTTTATGCCACGACACCATGTCAAACAACGACCACCTCTCCACTTTTTCCAACTAGTCCTAGCGTCGGCAAATAAAGCACGACGGAAGATTCTTTGCAGCGACATTCGTATAACATGTCCGAGCCACCGAAATCGGTGTTTCATAATAGTGAAACCAATCGGATTATCGTCTCTGTGCCCGAACACACGATGCCAAACTTCCGCATTAATAACATGGCGTTGCCACTGCATGTCAGCAATCCTTCGGAGACAGCGATGATCGAACACAGAGAGTCGTCTAACATCCTCAACGTGGAGGCCAGGTTTTCTTATGGGGCCACGCCCCGAGCCTTTGGCCTAAAAGTCTGACCCACAATGCAGTGGAGCATCATAAAGGGATGCAGTTCCATGGTAGCCGTTGACCGAAAATTGGTTCATACGTCATTTGTTCCGTTAGGATACTGGAGCCCATATGCACCATTGATTTGGGATCCGGTTAAATTTCCTGACATTCGCTTTTCGTCCTCTCATTTTCGTAAACAACACCCCCGTCACGAGAAGGCAGTGAGTAGGACTTCCCTGGCAGAGGCTTTATACGCGTGTCCGTGTGAGAGCATTTCGAGAGGGATGGCCCACACCACTCTCGGTCATACAAAGGCATTTAGGGGGCACCATCAATGTGTGCATATACATATAACAGGTATCCATTACATAGGATGAATCAGACATGTTGCATTACAAAATAGTTATAATGAATCCGTTCATATAAGATTTGTATATTACCGAAAAAGATTGATCAAATATCATTCTTGAATATTTACAATAGGACAATTCATTTTGATTAATAATGATATAATACATCTTATTAGTTCTGTACTTTTCCCTCTCATAAAACATCATTGATTTATTCATGTTTTGTTATTCTATTTTACGATTTCTTTGATAAATAAAGACCTGCTGGTTGGGATAGTTTACATCGATTAGAATTATTCAAAAAAAATTTATCATCAAATTTAATTGATTGTAATTATAACCAAATTATTACGAAACCATCGAAATTAAGAAGAAAAACATCATGTGGTATGTTTTCTATTAATTCTGTATTCATTACTCATGTAATTGATACTTTAGCACAGAAGTTATCCAGATTCATCTCCACTATAATCCTCATTATTGTTAAACCGCTTCAAAGTGATCAATTTCATTTGTGGATCGATCAGTAGTTAGAGTACTATTGAAAAGTAAAGAAAAAAAAGTGGTCTAATGGTTAAGTGCTGTCGCGCGAAACCAGTAGGTCCTGCGTCCGAGTATCGCAGGGAGTGGGCGAGGTCGTGGATACGCACTGCTGAGAAGTCCCAAAGTAGGACTAAACGGCTATCCAGTGCTTCCAGGTTTTCCATGGCGGTCTACCTCCACTTGACTCATGATCTTAACCATTGAAATTACTATAATCTCCACAAAACCCATCTGACAAAAAAATATGTCGGAAAGCTGTTGAACTATGAGAAACCTCTAGACTCATATCGTTTTTGAAGTTTAAATAGGTTATTTAGTTACAAATTTGAAAGTATATTGTTAAATAGGTAAACTAGCATCTTAGGAAACAACAAATTTAGCCGATTTAGTCTTTTTCGTTTTAAAATCATGTGAAGTAATTCGTAGACATTACTTGTAAAAATGTTACATGTTTATTGAGAGTCATTAGGTAACTCTGTTTCAAATTGGAAGGAAAGTTATTGATCGACATTATGAAGTCTAGATCACGAAGTTAATTAGGCATTCGAGAAATATAAAATCCCTTGGACAGGCAGACATAACATTGGTTACTACTTCAAAATCATTCGATGTAAAATATCTCAGTCTTACAGGAAATCACTTAACAGTATTGCATGTTCGAATCCTAATGGGAATTGTAGTTCGCTCAAGATTATAGACATATCTTGCCGATAAGCACCAATCAATACTAAGTCTTAATCAAGAGACTCATATCGACTATCTTAAACTACTCTAACATCAGGATGTATATAAACGCTTAATAAATAGAGACATCTTCAAGCTTATAAATGTATGTCAAACAGTTAGGTAATTTAGAGCTGTCCTATTAAATAAATAGTTATTTAAGTAAAACAAATTTTAATTAAGTGACATCTTTAATCTTTTGATACAGTTACAAAAACAAGTGGAATAGATACCAATCCTTCAGAAGAAGTGAATATTTTACAAACTGTTGAAGATGATCTACACTTTTTAAAACGAATGCAAACAATATTAGCTAATATGCCTATGTCGACAGTTACAAGTTCATTACCAGGCAATTTAAGTGGTACGACAACATCGATTAGTTCAACAATAAGTAATCAAACAAGAGAAACTCCAGTAAGTTCCAATAACATTGTAACTATTCGATTCTATTGTATAAAAATATTTGGTTATTAGAATGATTTAACAAAAAACCCTAAAGATTGATTTAATGCCATAGGAACGTGTTTATTAAGCTATTCTTATTTCCACTGAAATAATGAGCCGACCAATGTTAGACCACCACTCAAAACCTGGAAGCATTAGATGGCCGTTTCGTTCCAGCATGAGACTTCTCAGTAGTGCGAATCCGCGACCACACAAGAAGGAATAGAACAGCGGACGCTTAAAATCCAGACTAGTCAACTGGCACACACACGAAACTCGTCAATCTCCTCAATACTGTACTGACAATTATCATGTGTTCACTAATGACTAGATTCGAGAGGGAATACTCAGAGTCCTAGTGAGAGGCCGTGAACAGTGTATTTCGTGACAGTGGTGAGGCAGTTACTCACTGAAGACAATGGAAGATGGTTGCGCAATATCGGTATAGTCGACGCGCACTATCGGGGAGTACGATATTTGAATGAAACGGCCATCTAGTACTTCTAAGTTTTAAATGGTGGTTATGATTTCAGTATTACACGAAGATTTCAACAAGCATATACTCATAATTATTCCCATTTTAGTTATTAACTGAAAGTCTCTCATCCAATTTGCCTAATCAACCTAAACCTGGATCAACATCGGACAAAGAAGCCGTACTAAGTAGCTTTTTCAATTCTTTGCTTTCACGAAAAAGTTTAACTGAATCAAATCCAACTAAACCAATGCAATCGACAACGGGAATGACGTCGAATAAAATTAATACACTGAACACTTCATCAACACAAGATAGCGATGTAAGTTATTTTCCCAATTTTTTTTTTCAAAATAACTAAATATTCTACTGAATCATTCTCATAAATAGCTTCGACGTTTCGATTAAACTTTCACTTGGATGTTTTATTTTGCATTTTTTTACCAGACCAAGTCATAAGACAGTGTTGAATAATTTTTGGAGAAAATGGGATAATTATGCGAATTTCATGTTAGGTCAACGGGGTTAAAAGGGTTATGGTTTGTAATTTTTGTTTCTATTATCAACTAAAAGTTAGAATTGGTAATTGGATTTTAAAATATCATCGGCACATTTCAAGGAACTGTGATTTTTTTTGCACATAACCGTTTTTACACTGACCTTAATTTGAAAATTGTAATTCATTCATTCAGTTCATAGTAATCTTATTATTGTTTTACCCATAAAATCTGTGCTTTTAGCATAAACCAAAGAATTGTCATGTTTTGGATACTGTAATTCAAAATTGTAATAGAGACAAGGCATGTAAGCATATTTCATAAAGAACAATAAAATTTATGCTACCACTTATGATTAAACCCTAACAGTTTTGCTATTAATAGATGAAATTGTTTGATTAAAGTGAATGCAATAAACAGTCTTATTCTGTGAAGGGGTAGACAAAGTCACCTTCCTAAAAAGATTCATTCTGAACATACCAATACTATTTTAGGACCTACAGATATATGTTAAGGAATATTTGGAAACATCAGTGATGCAAATATAAATAATGTTTATTGTATGAAGTCAAGTAGAGTATGCTTGAAAAGAAATCCTGGAACGGCTTACAATCTAAGACGTTGAATAAGTAACCGAAATGTTAAAAACATGATGACTCAGATAACTTGGTTGAAATAGTTTGATTAAGTGACTTTGGATAAATGATACTTGAGCATTGATATTCAAACATCGTCTGAATAAAATTACGTTTACAAAAATAACACCCCAATGATGATGATTATGATCAAAGCCATGTTTTTATTGATCATGATTGAGTACGTCACAAATCTAGTTTTATTGCACACACCAAACAATAAGCCGTTAGAACTGCAAAAGTGTAAACATGTTTTCTTGAAATAAAAAAAACAAGATCTACTTTATAAATGATGACTAGTGATTCAAAAAAGATTTAGATTAGGTCATGTTATTCTCCATGATGAAAATTCAATTTCAGCAACGTGTAGGTGCACATTATAAATAATGAAAATGAACTTCAAAGTTTTTTAAACAAAAGAAATGAAAAGAAAATCAAACTATATTGAAACGAAATCGATAATATTACGACGAATAAATGTATACTACTTATATTACGATTAAGTAGTCCATTTTTATATTAAAAAAAAAGAAAGAGATTAAGTATTCTCAAACACTGAAAAAGAATGTAGGAATGTGTTAAGTTTGCCTGTTACAGGTTAATAAGTAAAACAACTAATAGCGAGGAACTAATGCTACCCACAACAACAACAACAGTATCATGAAGAACACTGGAAGATATTAGATGAAAAAACGGAAGAAATAAGGCTAAAATAACCAAAGAAATCAAGTTAAAATAAAACGCAAAAGCTTCAATAAAAAGTAATTTTTCTCGTCTCAATATTTAATGAAACATAATCAATAAATGTAACTAGTTCAAAGAAATGCTCCATAAGACAAACATTGTGAATAAATAAGAAAGTCGGCAAATTTATTTTTTTTCTCCTTCAGAAAAGTTTTATACTATTCGAATACAAAAACCGAAGATCAAAGAACAAAGAATATAAGCAGAATAAATGCGTTTTACAAAGAATGATGGGATAATTACGATCCATTTCATAACTGAGTGGTCTATAGTAAGGATGGAAAGAATCATTTTTGCAAAATGTCAACAAGAAAATGACACTTCAGAAAAATTGATTATGAAACGTTTTTTTCTCCTCTATAATTTATTTTATACCGAAATCTTTGAAGATTGTTCATTATCAGAGTTAATTGAATTTGCTGAAGATACTCTACTACTACCACTATTACAACTGTTTGTCGACTCCTGACGCTTAATAGCTAGTTGACGTTCTAATTCGGCTAAAGCAGGTGGAAGAAGATTAACAGCATTTATACCATGACAAAACATACGAGCTGGTCGAACTAATACATCATGACCAGGACGACATGTGAAATAACGGCGCACAGCAACACATACATCATGACGACCACGTGGTTTACGCTATTCAATACCAAGCCAAAAAACCTTCAGCAAATGTAATTGGTCCAATGTATCGAACAATACCTAGAAATTAAAAAGAATAAAAAGTTAGATGTTTTCCCTAAATAACCGGTAATCAACAATGAGTTCAAACGTCATTTGTTCCCGGAGCCCATATGAACGATTGGTTCGGAATTAGGGTTTCCCAACTCCCCTAGGTAGACCTTTCGCACACACGAATGTGATTTAGGTGCAGAACATTCGATATTTCTCCTCTCGATTTCGTAAACAACACTCCCGACACGAGAAAGCAGTGACTTGGGCTTACCTGACAATGACGATATAATCGTGGCCATATGAAAGGATTTCGAGAGGGAGAGTAAGCGCTCTCTATCCCGGTATTTAACATCCACTTTTCATATTATCACCATAAACGCAATATCCTTTATATTAGTGAAATATGTTGAGGGATTTTCACACAACAAAATTAAGATTGAGGAGTTAATACTAGACGTAGATATATAAAATGTTGAATGTAATTAATAATAAACATAATGTCCATTATTCTTACTGATTATTCTCTTGTCACAAACAACATAGAACTGGACTTATTTAAGTACTAGTTTTCGTACTATATTAGCACAGAAAGATTATACTATGAAAATGCATGGGAGAGTAGTAGTAGATTTAATGACAATATAAATGATAGTAGAAAGCATTAAGCATAGATAATATGATTCAAGAAAAACAAATGTGAATGTGTAGAATAAAAAAATGTGAAAAAATTCTCAAAGTCAAGATTTAAGCGGAAGAATGAATTTCATCGTCACCATGATCGATTCTAGGCATACCATTATCTGTGTGAATTTAAAACAGTATGTGATTATATCGCTCTTATTGCTTTTTACATCACTCCATTCAAAGAAGTTTTAAAAGCAAATAAACAATAAATCAACTTACCAATTTCTCCAGCACATAGAACTTGCATTCCTTCTGTTAAATAAAACACTGGTTCTTCGACTGACTCAACTGGTACACGTCCAACAGCTTTCAATGCATTGACTAATTCTGTTGGTAGCTGTGGTCGACCAATTACAGCACGTCCAATCATTGGTGATGTGGTACTAGACCATTGTGTGCGACGACAACACCATGATCTACTTGCTACTCCATCAACTTGTTCTGAATGATATGATGTAGTCATCATTGTTGGATTATCCGTTAGTTTATTTAAGTTTGGTGTATTTGGTTTTGTAGGCAATTTCTGTATACGACTAATCGGTGCCAATATTCCATGACCGGCAGCACAATCAAAATAACGTATCCCATTGATAGAACCATTATTTTTACCAACAGCTTGTTCTAATTCAATACCATACCAGATACCTGGAGCAAATTGCGTTTGTCCGATAAAACGTAAAACACCTCTACGTTGACCAGCTATTAGTACACGATCTCCAATTTAAAAATGATGACTTCGACTGATATCCCGTGAACGAACTCGTAATCCTAAAATAATTATGGAATGTAATGGGAGAATTTAAGCAAATTATCACGTTATTTACAATTTGAGAAACTGGAAAGAACAAACTTGTACAGCTGAAGTGCGTGACAAGTTAATGACTGTTGATGTCTATATCATTGATAATCCAATCGGAGAATTACCAAAACTATCATCAAAAAGGTACAAGTATTCATAAACACTTGTCTACGTAAGATACTGAATGTCCGTTGGCCGGATACCATCAACAACAGCCTACTGTAAGACAGAACAAGCCAACTTCTGGCAGATAAGGAAATTAGGAGGACATAGGAAGTGGATAGGACACATTGAGGGAATCATCAAACTACATCATGAGACAAGTCCTAACTTGCAATCCTGAAGATAAACGAAGCTGTACAACCGCAAATATACGGATTTATTTTTACAAGATGATAATAAACTTCTGTTAGACATGGTGACAGTAAGGTCAAATAAACAAAGGTATGAAAATATTTAAAACAAGGAAAGTTCAATAATCGTTTGATTGTTAATGGCTTAAGTATTCATCAAAAGAGAGATAGGTAAATTTCCAGTGGGAAAGGATAGCTCAGTATGATAAGATAAAATGTTGAAATTGAGATTAAATGTAATCAGAACGATAGTGGACACAAAAAAACCCAGCTGGGGGTAGAAAATTTAAGAGGGAGATGGAAGGTGAAGAAGATGGCTATTAAGGAAGAAGGGTATGGAAAAGAGAAAAAATATATAAGAAATTAAGACCATGGTAGAAGAAGAGGTTGTATCTATCTCTTATGCACACACAATTCTGGGTTTTCCAGATGTATGACTAATGCTTCGGCAATGCAAAGAAGATGCAGTTTAATTGACTTTGGAAGACTTCTACTTACATTGTAGATGACTTTGAACGCAGAGTCTGTTTTGATTGAGTGACCTGTGTTCACAAGGTATTCAATTATTGAACTTCTTATTGAGCCATTGCCTTCTCTTTTTAACCGTACTTTATCCAAAAGAATTCAAGAACATTGTTCGGTGTGGTTTCCTTGTTTTTGTATTTTAATACCTTTATTTATATAACCTCACTGTCACCATGTATAACAGAAGTTTATTATCAGTATTATTATTATCGTCTAAAAATAGGTATATATATATATATATATATATATACGATTGTACAGCTTTGCAAATGAAATTGCCGAAAAAGGGAGAACTCTTCACTGAACTAATCTTTCCTATTTAATATCTTAATGGGTGTATTCCGTTGAAGCCTTTATTATCAGCAAAACAAGACAGTACAAAGCCTTATTGAAATTTATTCAATAAAATATAATAGCTTCAACTGACTCATGATTTCAATCTGTGAAATTTCTAAAATCTCCACAAAACCCATTCTGATAATAATAATCACCTGCTCACTAGTGACTGACTTCAGGAGTTCTAGTGAGAAATCGTTACCAGTGGAGTTCAACCAGGTCTGTTGTGAGATAGGAACTCACTGAGGACAATGGTGTACGGTAGCGCAACTTCGTGGATTGGTTGAAGTTAGACATTAACACCGTCAGATGCCGGCTCAGTGGTCTAATGGTTAAGTGCTCGCGCGCGAAGCCAGTAGGTCCCGGGTTCGAGCCCCGGGTGGTGCGGGGTCGTGGATGCGCACTGCTGAGGAGTCCCATACTAGGACGAAACGGCCGTCCAGTGCTTCCAGGTTTTCAATGGTGGTCTAGCTTCAACTGACTCATGATTTCAATCTGTGAAATTTCTAAAATCTCCACAAAACCCATTCTGATAAAATATAATTAAGCAAATATGGATGGCGGCTAGCAGTGGAATTCAAGACGCGCGCTTCGTCCTATTTGGGACTCGCCAGCTGGATGTACCTGCATTTCAGAGTTGATGTTCACTCTGGGACTGGAACCCAGTACCATTCGCTTCAAACGCCATCGTGCTATTCACTTACTTATTGAGTCCTGATAGCTACTTACTTGTGCAATGGGGTGAATTTAAATTCACTTGATATTGTTTTGCTTGTATCTTCGCAGACTGATCAATTGTAGTCTTAAACCTCAACGGGAAGATACAAGCAAAACAATACCAAGTGAATATTATAATTAGTTGTATAAATGAATCAGCTTTATAAGAACAACAAGTACGAAAAATGTATTTGGGTGTATCATACCGATTCACCATTAAATTCTTTATGTAATGACAATGATGTTGATGGTTCCAAGAAACACACAAACAAACGTACAACTATGCATAAATTGCAAACTGTACTAAATGAGGTGGTTATTACCAAACCTGATATAAAATATTTATGACTATTTAATGTGTATTACGTATATGGTACGAAGTAGATTGAATAGGTGAGTACCTATGCTAATCAATTTCTTAAATGAAAGAAAACGTTTTCATTCATTTTTTTTTAATCCCGTCATATCAAAGCATGGGCCGTCGACCGGGGATCAACAAAACTACTTTGTCCCAAGCACTTCATCATTCCAATTATTGTCAAGTGTTATTCATTCTTTTGATGTCTGTCTCTAATTCTTAGCGTAATATATACTTTGATCTTTCTTTTCTTTCTTTACCTTCTGGATTCTAGGTTAGGGTTTGCTATTACTCATAAGTGGTAGCACAATTCGATCATGTTGGATTTAACACTCTTTAGTGGTGTCATAGTTATCTATCAATTAACAAATTTATACTGAATTGAAACAGCTATGAAATACCTTCTAGTTTGTAATGGTTATTGTGAGACTAAAACTAGTATATATTGTGAACTATCATCAGGATGAGTTTTGTTATCGGAACTTTATTATTCAACCAGCTTCCAGCTGAAGAGGAAATTAGGAAAAGATGTTGGGAGTGGATAGGAGGTACACTGCCATTTTGAACGGTCACATCTTAAAATGCCATTAATAGTATAATACATTAGAGACTAAGATTAAGATGAAAATTCCAGAGTTCTAGTTAGGAGTTGTGTTTGGTGGAGTTCAACCATGTTTGGTATGAGGAAGTTATCCACAAAAGACAATGGAAGAGAGTCATGTATTATTATGGATTGATAGAAGGAAACTTTGTACACCACTGAATATCGGTTTGTTGGTCTGTAGCTTAAGCATACGTACGTCAGATTGAAGATCCTCGGACCCAACTTCCAGCTGTGGTTATGAAGGCGTATTACTGAGTAATATCAAATGAAGAAACGTCGGCCAATCAGCTCTTTATGGTTGCCAATGGTTGTTGTGACTTAAAATAAATATAATTAAGTAATGATACATAAACTTCATTTCTTATTAACTTTTCACTTACCAGTATCAATTTTTGCTGTAACATGTGAAAAATTACCAGGTGATTGTAAAGTTGACGGTGGTGTTGGTGTACGACTTAATTGTGATGATACAGTTGTCGGATGTTTATGATGATCTATTAGTGAAGTATCTGTTGACACCGGTATTGATGTTATTGTTGTTGAACTAATTGCATAACTGGATCTTGATGAAGGTAAACGTTTTTTAGGTGTATTATTACCACTTGTACTACCACTACTATTACTACTACTATTACTACGATTGTCTTCTTTTAAATTATTCAACTTCTTAGAAGTAATTGATGTATTCAATGAATTATTAGAACGTCTATTAACAATAGTAGAATTAGTAGTATTGGTAGATGAAGTAACTGGATGCCAATTTTGTTTACCATCAATATTTACAGTTTTATAAACTCGTCCAATTGGAGCAAATATACCATGTTGATTAGGGCAAGAGAAATATTGAATCTATGTATAGTGAATTCAAGAAGGAAAAAGGAGACATTTGATACAATTTTAGAACAAAACAAAATACGGAACTATATAATTTGATTGAAATCATGAACCAACTCTAAGTTAGACCACAACCATTGAAAAACTGGAAGCACTGGTGGTTTAACTTAGATCGGTTTATTACTTCAATAAAATTAAATAATTTCCATAGACCTATATTGAATATGTAATTTGATTGGTTGACATCCGTTGGATGATAGGAATATCATTTAGATTGAGTCTGTTGAAAGATCCTAATTACTGATAGTTTAGTTATTTTGTATATGCGTAACAGTGAATTAGTGATTAAAGAAAACAAACACTATATTTATATGTAAAAACTGAGAACAGGAACCAAGCTTACTATTATTATTATTATTACCATTATTTATTTATTTGAACACATAAATATTGGTACAAGAATGCGCCACACAAAACAATGAGAATTTAAGGGGAAGAAAAAAAAAGAAAAGAGATTGATGTAAGGTGGTGTAGAAATAATAATGATAAAAATGAGGGAACAGAAAGGTACAATCAGAAGAATTCTTTCAGTTAAGGAAGGTACAACCACTTTTTATGAAGAAAGTAGAAGAAGGTTACAGCAGGATCGCCACTGGCTTCTATTCTGAGCCATATCTGATAAAATTCGATAGAGTCGAATTTCCACCAAAGACGAGCTGCTGTATAAGTCGAAATAATAAGTATAGACAAAGTAGGAATAAAAGAGGGTGAATAATGTCGTAGTAAATAATAATAATAATAATAATAATAATAATAATAGCAATAATAATAATAATAGCAATAATGGTAATGATAATGATTCAAATCATTTCATTGTTGTTCGAAGCGAGAAAAGTAGTTTCCATATATATAGGGAGTTCATCATTTGAATGTGGGCTGTGATACTTCCCTGATGCCCAGACCGAAACAGGTGGTTATCTTAGGGGGCCACACCCCGAGCCTTTGACCTAAAGGTCTAACCCACAAGGCAGTGGAGCAACGTAAGGAGATGCAGTTCCGTGGTAGCCGGTGACCAACGATTAGTTCATACGCTATTTGTTCCCGCAGGATACTGGAGCCCATATGCACCATTGATTTGGGATCCGGTTAAAGTGCCGGACATTCGCTTTTCTTCCTCTCATTTTCGTAAACAACACCCCCGTCACGAGAAGGCATTGAGTAGGACTTCCCTGACACAGGCTGTATACGCGTGGCCATGTGAGAGTATTTCGAGTGGGAGGGCGGACGCATCCCGCTCTCGGCCGTACCAGGACATTTGGGGGCCAAGCTAAATTAGATAACTATTGAAGATCTGAAAGCACTTAGTGACCACTGAGCATTCGTACAGAAATATATGTAATTTTGAACAAAGCAAGAATAGAGCTACACAGTTTATTAAATAGGAAACAAAATCAGATCAATAATCAGCCAATTGTATAGTACCTGGACCCCAAATGCCCTGGTACGGTCGAGAGTGGGAAGATTAAACTCTCCTTATCGAAATGCCCTCATATGGACACGTGCATACAACCACTGCTTGTGAATTTCTACACACTGCCTTCTCGTGGTGTTGTTTCAAAATTGAGAGAACGAAAAGCGAATGTCCGGGTTGGTGGACACGAAGAGTCCACTTATGGGAGTTTGAAAATCCTCATTCCAAACCAATTATGCACATGGGATCTAAGATTCTATAGGAACAAATGACATATGAACTAACTATTAGTTCATATGTCACTATGGGAATGCATCTCATTACGTTTGCTCCACTGCCTTGTGGATCAGACCTTTAGGTCAAAGGCTCGAGGTGTGGCCCACTAGAGGAACCACGTGCTTCGATTTGAGCACCCGGACAGTATTCTAGCCCTCACTTAAATCGAATGATTTATGTGGCGCATATCTATTTGGTGTCTTCTTGTACCTATGTTTATGTGTTTAAATAATTAAATAAGTAATAGTAACTGAATACACACTAGGTTTAGCTAATTTAAACAACTTTTGATAGGTGAGATATTTGGCTCTTTTTGATCGAATTTACATTTCTAATTATAAACTGATCGCCAGGGAAGTAGCACTGATGCTTGAACCAGTTGGAAAGAGCGTAAACGTGGTCATTGTATGACATGGTGTCATAGTATGGAAGAAATTTGTACGGGATTGGCTTCTGTTTATGCTTCACGACTCCCTGGTTGTGATCCTAGAGATAGTGAAACACAGAGGCTATAGACGTTGTCAGATATGACTCAGAATAGAAGCCAATGACGATCTTGCTGTAACTTTCTTCATAAAAATGAAGCTACCTTCTTTAACTGAAAGAAATGTCTTTGGTTTTATATTTTTGCTAGCTAAACTATATCACGCTCATACACTAATTTCTTCTACTTTACACTATACGTACTTTGCATTCTCTATCTTTTCACAACTTTATTGTTATTGTTTAGCACGTATATGTTTGGTGTCCCCTTGTACCATTGTTTGTGTTCAAATAAATAAATAATATAAATAAACTGAGAAGAGACTGACAAGAAATGATCTTGAAGGGTGAAACAACCAGGCAACTGAAATGATTGACTTCTAGTCACTTCCAGGGACATTTTGAAAGATGAAACGAAAATAGAATATGTATATTGATAATAACAGGAAGTATCATGAAGGGGATAAGATTAATGCAGCATAAATTTTGTAAAAAAAAAGCTTGAGTAGAAAATTTGCATAGCAATAAGCGATTTCCCACTTACATTTCGTAAATCAACTCTGTTATAAATGGAGATTCAAGACACAAAAAAGAATCTTCCGAAGACAATTTTACCTGTTATAAGGAAATCACTAAACAAACCGTAAACTCATTTATCTGACCTATTTGTTGTGCAGTTTGGTGCAAACTACTTAATTGGGGTTATAGTGATTATTACAACTTATAATTGCAGAGATTAAGTGTAACGGAATAGAATCATTCGAAATAGCTCAGATGTATTCAATCTTTGATTCGTTTTTACTCTTGAGTTTGAAAATAATCTTCTACACTATTTATTGTACAAATTCATTGTCTAAATTCGGTGTGAAATTTCACAAAGAACGATTTTCAGGATGTTTTCACTGATTCAGTGGAAATATTTTCGACACTCACTGCTAGTGTGATGTGTTCTACTGATATCTACAAATATAAGTAGTATGTAACATCAATGGAAAGTGCAATGTCTGGCGACAGAATTTCAAGGAAAAGAGAACGAGAACAGAGATTGGTGTGGAAACGAAATAACAATGAAGTTTCAGACGATTGACTGATAATCGCAAAAGAAACAGTGAAGTTGGAGACAACTGATTGACAGATTGTAAATTAAGTATTTACTGTATGATTCCCAGCTTTTACTAAGATATTATGTCATGTTGTGATGCAACATATTTCACTGTCCCCACTTGTGTTCACGTCCACTACAGTAGTACTCAATGTTCAAAAACATTTTGATGCATTTTATTAAAAACAGAAACCAAGTGAACATTAGAAAAAAGAAAAAAAACAACTACCTAAATATTAAATAGAAACATTTTTTGTTATTTAGAACAGGGAAAAAAGAAAACACTCACTCCTGCTACACTACCATTATTTCTACCAACTGGTTCATCTAACTCCACACCAACCCATATACCGGAACCAAATGAAACTGATCCACAATAACGTAGTTTACCAATTCTACCAGAAATACCCGTCGTTGTTAACGGTGACTGATTCTTACTACTGATCGGTATAGCTGATGATGATGATGATGATGGTGTAGAATTACCTGGTGCAATACAAACACGATCGCCTAAAGCTAAACCCATAGATTGTAGCGTAACTTTTGCAGAGACGGTAAATTTCTTCGATTGACTTGTTGTAGGACTTTTCGTATCATTATTAATATTTGGTTGTTGTTGAATGTTGGTTGGTGAACGTTTAGTACGAGGTGATAAAAAACCAGATTCAGCTGTATGCATGGATCATAATGAAATATTATAACAAATAAACAGGCAATATGATATCTCATTTCAAATAAATATTGCCAATCGTTTTATCATGAGAAACAAGATTTACATAAACGGATTTTCACAAAATACCTTTGATTAATGCGATAACATTATTTATTACAGACTAACTGGAATATTATAGGGAAACAATCTAGTGCAACATGGTTGTTGTTTCATTCTATTTTCCGACTCTTGAAAACAAAGTGGAATCATAACGATTACTCAAGCTTCAAAATAAAGAGGGGACTTTTATATCAGGTGCAGAAAAATAATTCTTAGACTGCTATCAACTTCTTAAGGTAATAGAAATTATAGTTAGTTAAGTCGTAGTGTCAACTCAATTTTTTCGCCGACCATTCACTCTTGATAACAGAATACAACCTCTCTGAAATACGAGCAAGAGTGTTTCTATGTACTTTTTTCAGTCAGTCAGAATCAGGAAAAAATCGAGTAACGTTTTAATCAGTTAAACTGTTCTCACTGTTCTTCTCTAAGCTTGCCAAATTATCAGGTCAGTGATACAACAGTTTTTTCTCTGCCCCCAAGGTCATTCAGTAATAATTGAACTCGCGCATTTGTCGATCTCAAATCTGGATTGGGTAGCCTACCGTACCAAAACCCCAAACTAAATTGAGACAATTTTTAGATGAAACCTGCCAAATTTTCGTGTCAGTAAATCTAGTCATATCCTCGAAATCTTCTGAAGAAACACATCAGCAAACAAACAACTTGCTAAGAAGGCATCATAACAACATTGGTTTCGTGAAGCATGGGAATTCTTGAAAATATACCCGTTTAAAAATGACAAGTGCCATCACCATCATCCGATTAGCCAAAATGAACATTAACTATCAAAGACATACAAGCCAGATTTTAGCAGCGTTCACAAAACAAGTGAATGTTTATTTTAAGAATACTAGGAAGTATGTTAACATAAAAGTGAATGGTAAACCTGTTTGTCTTCAGTCAGATACACCATACGACATTCCAATGATTTCCAACAACAGGTAGTGCTTGCTATGATGCCCAGACACTCAAATCGTCCATGATGATATAAAACAGAAGCAAGAAAGTATTAATCCTTAGTATGAATTAGCAAGGTACTTTTTTTAGCAAAAATACCTTTTTCCATCCAGATCGACAAGTAAATCTTCCTGTATTGGTAGTAGAAATGTATGGTTTCTTAGAGAATTATTCAGACTAGCGAAGAAGTAGACATAAGTGTGAACAGATAGTAGGACAAGTCATTTACACTGATCCCTATGTTATGTCTCTCAAATCACGTTGATCTGATTAGAGGTTTTCTGATGTTACATGAGAAATTTTGTTAAAAAGGGATGTTTTTTCTTTGTAAACTAATTTGCAGTTTTCACGAACGACGAAGTACTACAAATTTTTTGGCTGTTCCTGTGAATGGAAAACTATTTACTTTTATCAAGAATGGACCTCTTTTCCAATATTACGACATTGGGGACGTATATTACGTTTGAAGTGCTGTTGTTACATAGTATATGTAACTAACTAATAGATACTTCGTTTACCGTCTAACCGACTATAGATAAGATACACTGAACGTATAAATAAATAGGGATTTTTAGTCAGTGACTAGAAACTTTGACTGACTTAGTGCAGGAAATTCATAATGATCCACGACACTTTCACTCTTCATCTTACTCCCTCGATCTTCAGGTTTAGAATTCTTTCATAAACACTTTCCCGATACGTGTTTGGTTTTTCTAACAGTATTCTCTAAATTTCGTCTCACTTTTTATCATCGTTATTACATTTCCACTATTTCATTATATTTAGATAAGTTGGTCCAATGTACATCTGTCCTAAGCTTTATTTTAAAGATCTCCGTTTGTCTGCAATTTCAGTAGAATTCACTGAATAAACGATAATTTACTATAATATAATATCATTAAATTTCCGAGACTGTAGCTTAGAGATTAACACATTGACATTTGAAACAAAAGAAGTTGGATTCCAGACTGTGTCAACATCAATTCTGAGAAGTACATACTTTCAGATGATAAGTTCCATATAAGACAAAATCAATGTCCTGGATCCCTACTGAAAGCCATAATCCATCTATACTAAGAGAATATCTATAACACAATGACTGTATAGAGGTGATCTGCATAAGATACATATAAATGTCAGTGAAGTGAGATTGGAATTCAGTCTTGAATATCAACAACAGGATGATTTCAGCCATTACCAATTACGGTATGTATACAGGTTATGTACAGATTTACTATAATTTAACAATAATATCAACAGGAAAAATGTCAAAGACTTATCATAACTAAACACGTATTGGATTGTAGTTTCATATTTAACAGTAAAGTGTGTATTCTAACAATCCACACGCGAAATCAAACACAGGATATTTAACTTACAAAAACAGAAATCAAAACTATGCGACGTTAAGGAGAAACCATTTCTAACATTTTTCTTATCTTCCTATTATGATTATATTCGTTAGATTTCTTTACATCAAAACCATAATAATCTTTTCTTAAAACAATCAAAAGTTATTCATGTCAGTACCATCTCTTCTTTCGGGGGGGGGCGAGAGAAAGATGATATGGGAATTGGATAATATTTCATTTTAAAATGTTTCTTATTACACTAAAGCAAAATACTTACCAACTAACCAATCAACTCCACTACATGTAGATTGTTGTGAATGAGAATTCTCAGTTGGTAAATTTTGATTATTCACATAATTGTTAGTAATATGTTCATTTCGATTATTTGTTGAATATTCATTTGAAGTGGCTTGAATGATTCTTTTTTCAATGTCAATATCTTCCTAAAAGAATAATAATAACAACAAGAACGAGGTCAATAATCTTAGATACTGTGTAGACATTAATTGAAATGTTTCATTATTGAACGTTATCTTATGAATTATACTTTGATGATTAATGTTCGCTGGTTTAAAACTAGGTGGTAAGAAAGTCAAATATGGTCAAATCAAGATAAGTATCAGAAGGGATTTTGTGAAGATTGTAGTAATTTCAACAGTTTAGATCATGACTCAATTGAAACTAGACCACTATGGAAAACCTGGAAGTACTGGACGGCCGTTTCTTCCTATCGCATGACTCCTCAGCAGTGCTCATCCACGAGTCCGAAAATAGGACGAAACAGCCGTCCAGTGCTTCAAGGTTTTCCATGGTGGTCTAGCTCCAATCGATCTATGATCTCAACTGTTGAAATCAAGATAAGGCATCAATTCATAACGTTATCGGATGATTAATCTGAACTAGACTGATGAATCCAAACTGTTTGAGATCTGAACACGACACAAAGTCGTTTACAATGGTATAAATGTATCTAACTTTTACCTTGCTATTCATCGTAAATTTTCAACGACTTCTTTTGGAGATACTAGATCCCCAGAAATCACTTTGTGAATGTCTTATTTTTGTAATTTTATTTTGAAGTTTTAAATTTCCTATTTTCGCTAAAAAGCACCCATTTTTACCTTCAGACTGTATTTTCCACTTGGAAGGACATTCCCCTTTTAATACGCTATTTTGTGACGTTTCCCAAGGACATTTTCATACTGCATGTATACGCTTGAGTTGTGTGCTTGTTTATTCATGCGTCCGTGGTGATTTTGGAATATACATTTCCCTCGACTAAATCTGGTCATCTCCCTCTAGTTAGCAGGGTTGAGAAGTAGTGGAATAATTTAGCTTGTCCTGTTGACTTTCTGAACTTGGTTCCATTCGCTGGTCTTAGGTGATATCGTAATTTCTTCAAATGTAGCATCCTCACAAACATACCTTCTCATTTATTCACTTTGAGCAACGTGCTCAATGTTTAATCATTATCATTTTGATAATAAATTATTTTGATCTGTCTTGGAATTCAGCTTCTTTTATTTATTTTATTGTTCCAATTTACTATAACAAACTTAAGCTAATAACTATACACCTTATTTCAAGTTCTAAGGTATTGATTACGGAATGATTGATCATGAATTATACGTATTAAATCTATAATCAAATGGTTACATCACAAGAAAACATTTCATATCTTATTTACTTACAATGAGTCAAGTGTATTTTACACCACATTTTCTAATTAGCTCATATAAGTAATTGATAAACATGATAATGACTAGTCTGCATAAGTAAACATTATAATGTATTTATTAGGTACGTAAAAGATCATGAGAATAATTTTCTCAAATTGAAATCATGAGTCAATTGAAGCTAGACCACCATGGAAAAACGGGAAGCACTGGGTGGCCGTTTCGTCCCATTACGGGATTTCTCAGCTGTGAGCATCCACGATCCCGCATCCGCGAGATTCGAACCCAGGACCTATCAGTCTTGCGCCATGCACTTAACCAACTAGACCACTGAGCCAGCATCCAATGGTGTTAATGTCTAACTCCAACCAATCCACGAAGTTGCGCCACCGTACACCATTGTCTTCAGTGAGTTGATATCTCACAACAGACCTGATTGAACTCTACTGGTAACGGCTTCTCACTAGAACTCCAGAAGTATCTCTTGAAGTCAGTCACTAGTGAGCAGATCACCTTCTGATAATAATTTTCTGACTTGAGAAGAAAGAGACAAACTTCGGTCTAACAATCCAGTTTTAATTGACTCGAAGATCAGTAACGTGAACATGTAGTGTGTATATATATATAAATGTATACTAACGTACAGTTTGTTGTGCAGATGTTGGACGAAGTAATTCAGCCAATAAATCTCGTAGTGTACACAGAGGTTCTGGAAGTTGACCTGAAGGCGGTAGACATTCTGAAATAATAATAATAATAATCGACATGGTGCGTATTTTCCATAATGTGAATTAGAACAACATATATTAGCGAAAAATAATAAATTAGATCGTCATCAGGCTTTATTCTAATACACAATGGCTCTTTCAGCTAGATGAACGCGATAGGCCCTTCTGGATAAAAGGCTTACATAGGTAAACGACACAACAACAAAGGGTTCAGTAGTTGTTTTTGCACATTTTTCTTGTCTTTGGTTTTATTACGTCTTTAGTGATCGCTGACCAACGGTGTACCACCTAGCAGTGAATGATTATTCCTTTTCTCGTAGGTAGGATCTTTTAGCACAGTAATATTAATATGCATATAAGAAATTATTCAACCAATCAAGGCAGATGATAAGTCAGTGACAATAGTGGAATAGATTACATGAATAAACATAATTAGTAAAGAGTACAAATTGGTAGTGTGAGATGACAGGTGTACCAGCTGTGATAAGAATAACAAAAGCTTGAATTCATGTTTCGTAATAGGAAATAGGTCAATGACTTGAAAAATATAGATCTTGAAAGAACATTCATAAAATCCATGATTGGACAATGAAGCATGTACTTAGGAAAAAATGTATGGGAGGGGTTAAAGAAAAATAAATGAACAAAGGGTATGGAGATTAAAATCGATTTGGCCAAGGAAGAGATTAAGGTGTTACAAATTTCTTATCAATACAAAAATTCGGATAATTAGCTCGAATTTCCATAGCTTCTGCTATATGTAACAGACGATATTGAGCTCCATTAGGAGAACCAGTAAGAATACGATAAATCACTTTAAATGACCTATTTATGTCTACTACATGATCGCTATCGATCAAATACGATATAATAGAGCTCTGTATTGTTTTGACGATACCCTTTCTCAACCACGAAGGAAGGCGTTCACTAATTCTTGACTCAGTTATCTGGTTGTGTGCTGAATATGGCTTTCTTCAAAAAAGCAGCTGAATTCGTAGATATACATAAGCGACTGAGGGATATCAGTTGAATAGGCCAATCACTATCCAATCAATAAAGTTTTGAGTGTTAGATTTAATGTCTTGGTGATTATATCAAGATCTGATCTAGAATATTACCTCTGACAGAACAGAAAGAAACATGAGTGTTAAATTAAGATGAACAGTAAAGAGTTCGTATACGAAGTTGTGTAATTTCACTGATATAAATAGCTGAATTACGTAGTCGCCGAAACAATGCAAGCTAAAATCATTATTCTTCTTTCGTTGAAATTACTAATCATTAGTGGGAACAGTTACAAGAGTTTCAAATTAATATGCAAAACATGAGTCAAAATCCTTCTTTTTCCTTCGCATCTAAGATTAATTCATTGAGAAAAACCACAATTTAAAAGTGAATTTTCTTAAAATGTTAGGCAACTGGGAAGCAGCTAGTCACAGGCATGAATTCCTCCCTAGATTGTAGTTACCACATACTAACAATGGTAAATACCAAGAAACCTGGATCCAGTGCTTCACACCGACTACTCCTAACCACAGAAATTCATTCATTTTAGTGAGTTATCCTTTAAAAATAATATTATTACTTGACTGATTATTACAAGCAAAGACGGATGGTGACCAGCAGTGGAATTCAGGACACATGTTTCGTCCTATTTAGGACTCGTCAGCTGGATGTACGTGCATCCTACAGTTGATGTTCACTCAAATAGCAATTATAAAAAATTGTACAAATAAAGAAAATCACAATTATCTCACCATATGGTGTACGTCCATAACCATCTTTTGCATCTTTAGCATCATATCGTTGTCCAGTTTTTGTAACAGAAAAATCAGCTGCTTGTATTAATATACGTGCAGTACCTAATGATAATTGACTAGCAGCTAAATGTAACGCTGTAGAATGATCAATCAAACATGTTCTCGCTGATATACATGCACCACGATTTATTAATAAATCAGCTAATAATGGACAATCAAAATAAGCTGCGTAATGTAACGGTGTCATATCAGTCCATTTACAACGAGCTTCGAGATTAGCACCTTCATCTAATAAATAATTAGCAATACTTCGAAAGGAAACAAATAAATAGATAAAATTATAAGTAAACAAAAAAGAGGAAAAAACTAGAGATAATGAAGATAATATGATACTATCTGAATTAGACCAATAGACAGCTTTATCTACCGAACACAGATAACATCACAAAACCTGAAGGTCTTGGTCTCAATTCTTAGTAAAGTCATGGATCTACACAGCTAAATCAATCTGTAACGAATGAAACCTACAATATAAATTGATGGAAATGAGCCTGAACCGGGCTCGATTAACGAAGTGATTCGAAACGACTAGATAGTTTTGGATAACGTAAGCTTTGACAGAAACAAGCATTTATTGAAGTTACCCAATTTCACATTAGTACATCTCAATCGTAGCTATTACCTTGACGCGGTAATCGGTCTTGCATATCACGGTGATTCAATAAAGTAGTATGGGCTAGAACGTTTGTTTTTTAGGACCTATTATCCCAGGCAGATCACCTGAAGAACAGTGAGGGCAGAAGGAGTAACTTAAGGTCCAAAGAAGTCATACTGCCGAATTGACTAGAGTGCGACAGTAGTATTGCCTCCAGATAACCAGCAACTGCAGCGACACTGCCTTCCCGCAACCGGAAGGGAAGGTTAGAAGTTTGGACTTGAAAATGCCATACTCCATCATGCCCCACGGATTCTCATAGCATAAAATAAGATCTTGAATGTACGGAGATAACACATCAAAAACTACTCTGACAAAGGCTGAGTACCCAACTTTAAGCAGTTGTTAATTCGACTGTGTAGTCACCCTTACAGTTTGGCAAGACCAGTACTACTAATCCAGTTTGTTTTTCATGACGCACAAAAGGAAATATCCTTCCCAAGTATGTGTAAAATTAATGAATAAAGGAATTACAGCTAAGATAGAAAAGACATCAACATTAAATGATAATCGTATTAATATAGTTTATATCGACTAACATGAAGAAAATAGGTCGCTTATCGATTTTTCAACAAATCAGCTTACATTCATTAGTTTGTTTGGATTTAAGGAGTTTTAAGGGTATGTAATTTATTATTGGCCCTCGTTTATCCACTACAATGTGACATAAATCTTTGTACATACAAACTGATAGTTTGGTTATTGAATTAAATTATTTATCTCTATGACTATTTATCATAGAAGCAAATCAAAATTCAATATCATATTCATTGAGAAAGTAGTTTTATTGATAAACGGTTACGTCTTATGATGACTTAACAGTTGCTCTAAAATTTAGTCGCAGTCAGAGAAGAATATGATTAAAGGTTTGAGGTGGAATAGCAGATCGTAGATGATAGACTGTGAAACAATCTTAGAGATGTGGAAAGCAGTCATATTTTTTGTAAATTAATGAATATCGAGGTCCTATTATAAATCAGTTCAATTACTTGAGAATAAACCACACTCTCTTCACATAAGATATAATAATAGTGCTAACGTATCGAAGCCAAAATAATTTGTAGGATTTGAATTTGTGATTATATGGTTGGAAATTGAAAGACTTAAGCAAGAACGCATTGCTTTAATCAAATTAAATAACAGTAATGTATTAGATGGTTAATGGAAATTATCAAGAGGCTCTGGATATGTAATTTGTATTAGTTGGTACTCATCAATAAGAAGGATTTACAATCTAAAAGGAATAGATGCTTCCCGTGGGATAGAACCTATGAGTATTAAGGAATACACAAACGTGATATTATTTGTTACACACATGTTAGTCAACGTAAATATATTAAACCTACAGGAAATTAGCAATGGTTGAAATAACTGTGTGGTCAAATATCTGATAGTGCATGAGATCGAACACATCAGTTCTCTGAAGATACGTCTTATGGACAAGTGCCAAGTCCAGTTGTCTCCAATGTTCACCTAACATGGTATACATGATGTTGAATCACTTCCACTGGAGAACAACTTGTTCTGTCTAATCTGATTGGACATAAAGACGAGACTAATATGATATTTTTAGGTTGCGTTCGTCACAGATTGATCTCAGTTGGAATACCAATGAAAATCCGAGAGCATTGAATAAATGTTTGATCCAAATAGTGGACTACTTTGCAGTACGCATCCACGACGTTACCAAGGATTGAACTTAGAACCTGCATGTTTCATGTCGAAAGCTTTAACATTAAAGCCACTATTAGTGTCTAGTAGCACACTTTCAGCTTTAATTAAGTTGCAATATACCGCGATAATCATCTAATACCATTGTTGATAATTGTCTCACCCCTGACGTCTGAACATTAGTAGTGACGATATTTAAAGAGGTTCCGAGGGTACTCACTATCAAGAAGTCACACGCTAAAACGAAACAGACACTAAGTCTTCCTTACATTTTAAAGACAAGTCCACTGAGACTAATATGTGACGAATAATACTTATAAATTAAACTAATCCTCATAAAAATCATTCAATTAAAATATGTTTCAGGATATTAGATGACATAATCAGTCCATTCATAACATAATATAAACAGGATTTACGTATCTTTTGAATGACACATAAAAACTTACCGACACGAAGCTTGTTCATCGCCTAATGCACCGGATTTTGCAGTAAAATGTAATAAAGTCATGTCACTTAAACCGTCACGATCATCAACATGAGCACCACGTCTAAATATCTGTTGATGGAATTAAATAAAATTGAGTAAAGAAAAGAGACAAATATGGATGTGTGTGTGTGTGTGAAAGATACAAATAATCAAGACTGATTTATTTTATATTCATGACAAAATTATTTGATTACACAATACCATAACGGCTGACGGTGTGGATGAACAACAAAAAACAAATGAGATAGTGATTCTGTAAAAAGATGAGAGATCATATGCGTAAAATTGACTGCAATAATACTCTGCAAGTTTATATTTACGTAATGGTTTTCGCCACTATTTGATTGATTGTTCTCACTTTCAGTTTGCAATTTGCCCAAAGAACATGATTTGCTGCTAATATACATACAAGATTTACTCCTACTTCAAATTTAATATATTGACTATCAAGCTTTTTTTGATTCCCGGATTACTATGTCTTTTATCGTATTCGTTATTATTATTACAGTGTTATGCGGTAAACCCTTAACCAGGTACACATAATTAGTGACGGGAAATCTGGACTTTAAGCCAAACTGTTAGTGTGAGAGCCAATGATATTACGCAATCACCTGTATCAAAACAAATGGACCTCGAGTTCGAAAAAATAGAAAACTCTGAACATAAGAAGAACCATTTGTCAGAAGAACCTATATTATCCAAGAAAAATATTTATTGAACACAAATACAAGAAGTAAATAGCGTACATTTTGGAACAGCCAAACAAGTGATTTCTGCGTTAGCGATAATATGCTAGGTAGGGATGAGGAACCAACTGATGAGGTGGAAAATCCTTATCAACTAAGGTGGTTGAGACATGTGTTACGTATGGTAAATTATCACCTATCTGAACGGGCCATTTTGTCTGGTATAGGAGTAGACTAGAGGAAAGCTAAGAACGGTCAAACTAACACATCCATAAAAACATTGACTATCGAAATGAGCTGATTAGGAAGATGAAAACAACCGAGTTGTAGTCCGCAAGATTATTGTAACCACTGGTAAGAGGCTCTGAATGACATGGCATGCATTCAATCGATATCTTCCCCCGCATTCTGAGCTTCTGAATTCCTCAATTTTTCTAATTCCACTAATATTCTTGAATCGCATCCTTGATGCCCACTATTTTCTGTTACTACCCATACTGTTATTACATCCGTTACTTTGGAATTTTCCCTGATAATTTCATTTTTCCGTGCTAATGGGGTATAGTGACTTGAAATGATGTTTTTATGTATAGGTTGAAACTGACTGAAAAACAAATTTTATAGTCACTTTTATATAATGAACGAAATCTATATAATCAAGAAAACAGTAATCAATTTATCAACTTCACGTTTTTCCCCAACCAATCGATAAAATCCATCAATGAAACATACCTCTTCAACTATTGTAATTAATTGTAACTGTGCATAAGGTGTCCATTGACGTAAAATAGCAAATAATTGTGATATAGTTAAATTACTTGATGTCACTGACTCTTGGCAATCTTCACACCACCATGGACCAACAGGCATTCGCATAACCCATGATCTTGATTCTTCTTCATCATCATGAATCATTTCTTCAGGTAGATGATGATTATTATTATCATTATTTACAGGTGATCCAGTCACTGAATCATATTCTTTTGACATTTCTTCATCCATAACACGACAATTCTTTAACAATTAAAATGAACAGAGATAGGAATAGGAAAATTGACTGCAATTCAATGACAAGTATGAGTTTGTTAAGATTGCTGAATATTACTGAAAACCAGAAACATTGAAAAGCTTTCTTACTCTAGTATGGGACCCTGTGGTGTCGGTTATTATGTTAAGCCCATATACCTTATTCTAGCTTTCGGACGGGCCAATCTATCCATTCTGCTTGAATTACCTTTTGACCTTGTTAATTATTCGCTTATCAATCTTGACTGTTTTTATATGAGCACATATGTGTGTGACCTTCTTATCCCATTCATCACGTATCTGAAGCTTAATATTGTGTTGATTAAGGCTCGGTTACATGGAGTTAGCTCACATGTCCTCTCCACTTCGCTCTTTCCTCTTCAGTTCTCTGATATTTTGTCTGGATCAAAGATTGAATGAAATATAAGTACTCGTAATTCATTCTCGTATTTGATTTATTTAATTCCGTTATTGACTAACGCCATTTAAGTAGTTTATTATATACGAGAATAGGCGACATATATTTCGACAGCAATCATTCATACGATCAATTTGGAGTCATATCCCGGGCCACTAAACTCTACATTTGTGCAAATTTACAACCACATCAAAAATTGAAACCAGTACCTCTTTTGGTTTTGCAACGAGAGATTACATTTTAGGCCATCCAACAAAGAGTTTTGTTCCAGTTAATGACTCAGTAATGGGATGTTTATGTATGCTATTGTGTTTGTATGTATGACTTTGTTTTCATAGAAATCACAAATAGGATATACTAAGAGATAATTGGATGGAGAATGCTGGTGAGCGGCCTATGCTCCTTCCAGAGGAGTAACAGGCGTAAGTAATAGGTCATTACAAACGTTTTGGTTCTGAAAATAAAACTATCTAATAGCATGTTGTGATATGAATAGATCAATGATAACAAACTCTGACTGTGACACTAAGAGATTCGAATACGAAGGAGGATATCGGCTATTCACCTAAGCTTGTATACATGCCGTGTTGATGAGTGAGAATTAGTATGAAACCTATGACCAAGATTTTCTGTCGACCGGTATTATTGCCAGGGTAGAATCGGAAATCTTTCATGCACAGATCAGGCACAAATCACAATAGACTGATTAGCTAGCTTTGAAATAATTAATGTTAATGGACGAACTGAAAAGATGATAGATTATCCGGTTAAAGTATACTTTAGGAATGAACTATTCAGAATCAAGAACACTAACTTTGGAGTTTTGTACAAAACGTTCAGAATCAGAGCAAAAAAATAATTTTTTGCAACCATAGAGTAGTGTTAGACATAGCAAATGCTTTCTTTTGTCCTTTTCGATTGTACATAATAAATGAATTGAAACTATCCCTAAATCCAAATCTTTGGTCCTGAAAGAAACGTAAACCTAGTGGCACTAGATTTAATGAACGAACCAATCATATGGTCTCTTAAGTTTTCCATCTATACTAGATTTCTACATTTTGGCTGATGTTAGTTGGTGATGAAAATTCTAGTCCTGAATTCGTTATCTCAACCATAACAAAAAACAATGTGGTGATGGCTGAAACCTTTGTTTGAACACTTTTGAGGGTTCGAGAATATATGGGCAATCTACATTTGTCTGTTACATCTAGAACATCAACCGCGTACAAATTGAATCCGCCAAGCTGCAAGTTAGAAGACAGGAATGTGTCAATCTATTCTTAACCAATCTATCAATCGATTGTAACACACAGATTCTTACATTATTCAAAGTGGTGATTTAAGTAGTCACAGTACGAAGAGTTCAAACACATCTTACGTCTACTAAATCTGAACATGAAAAGACAATATAATCGGTAAAATATGAATGTGTAAGTTCATGAATTGAACTGTTGTATTCAAAATAGTAAATCATCATAATAACTTAATATTTAATTTTGTTTTATTGCTTTTCTCACCTAAATAGGAAACTTCAATATATATTATTTTATCAAATATTAATTTCTATGTACTCGGATTTCAGCCATATATTTTGTTGTCAGATTTTTGTGTTATCAAGTAGCTGCCTCAACCGTATTAAACAACACGGGATTCGAACAAGAAATCTACCAGTTAAATACCACCTGCTTCAAAACGGGTAGAAGGTAAGGATAGCAAATCAATTGATGAAGTATCACTGCTTCATCAATTGAGATGCCTGGCACACAGTTACGTATGCTCAAACACCAACTGCTCCCACGTGAGATCTTTCATGGTGTAGGTTGGAAGAAAGCTAAGGGGCGGACAGACAAAAACATGGTACAAATAAATGAATTCACTGACAAGTGGACTGAGCCATGTTGGTAGGTGTACACTACCTGGTTGGGATCCGCAAGACGATAGCAAACGATGGTTAGAGACCTTGGATGACATGGTCTCAAAATCGTTTGTAGTGGAGCAGGTGCATACACCCTTTGTGTTCACCCAAATTCTAATCTTCTGAATTCTTCATGTTCCATTCTTTTTTTCTCTTTCCAAATTTATTTCACTGGATTATATTTCTGAATAACATCTGCATACCCTAATCTTTCTGATTACTGCTAATAGTATTATTACCTCCACCACTACGGCATTTGAATTGACGATTGTATCTCTCTGCTAATGCGTTATGGCAACTCGAACTGATGCACGTACGTACGAAGTTCTACATTGTTGACTGACTGACTGCTTCAAATCATAGGATGCAGGTATAATTAGCTGACCATTCCAAAAATAAGAAGAAACGTATATCCCGGATTTCACTACTAGCCACTATCCATTTTTGCTTATAATACCTGAGACTTAAGGCAATATCGAGACAATCCAAACAGAATACGCATATGTCAATAAGAAACTGATCAATTTCACTTTTAAACATCAATGGGAAGACTCAAACAACCAATACATAAATGAATAAAGAGAAATTTCAAGGAGAAAAGATATATTACCATCTATAAAGAAGGATCTATAACTATTCGTGAATTAACTTATTCATTCACTTACACTTTAAAAAAATACACAATTACAATACTTAATGTGTGAATTTAGAGAGAATAACCACTGTAAACGTTGTATATACATGACAACTTGATCAATCTGTTATATTCATACACGTTTTAAATATAGATTAGTAAGTATTTGACTAAAAAGGACTGAATTATTGAATGGGTAATGCATGCATATGGATATGGTCAATTATTAATGTAGAATTCAAATGTTTAGACACATATAATATATAAACTATTAAAACCTATAGACAATGTTTTTATTGTCAGTGACATAGTAAAGGTGAGGAGAAAAAAAAAGGTCGATAACAACAAATAATTTAATGTTAAAGTCAAATTTATTGTAACTAAGTTTCGGTTAACAAGTCGATGAAAACACCAAAGCAAAAAAATAAAATAATTTAAATTATGGACTGGGAAATAGTTGACAATAAGAGAGAGATAAAGTACCTGGAAACTATTTCGTGGCAACATACCACATTAGTAATACTAAGATTCAGCAATGTGTATTTGGAGATGGTGACGATTATTCAAATGGTGTTATCGTCTTTAAACATCGGCTTTGGCAGCTCGGATATGTCTAAAGAATATCAGGTTAGACGCTTCCATTTCGTGCATGAATTGTTTACGCTAGGACTTGGTGGAAAAAGTGGAGAGATGAAAGATAACAGTACAGGACTATAAATTATCAGTCCATAATGATTTCCTATTTAAGGTCCTAGAAATTATGCAAATTAGTGGCTTCAGACTTTACCAGACATGGGACAGAATGGAGTCTTTTATTTTCTACATAGAAGGTGACAGAAACTTAACTAATGGACATTCTTTTTGGTCATATCTTTATACTGTACAGTATACCTGTCCACACTTTTTAAATGTACTCCCTATCCTAGCTTTATTTCTTTGGTGGCCATTTGTGTGCAGTAAACTAAAAATTAAAAACACGGTCGTACTATTCGGGATCTAATTACCGGTGTGTAATCACCCATGATGGAGTCGAATGCAAAACTGACCTAGAAGCAGTGGATAGCTGTCTTTCTAATATGGACCTCCTCAGCAGTGTTTATTCAAGACCCTACCGTACGGAGTCGAACCAAAGACCTTAGGTCTCGCGTGCGAATGTCAACTACAGGAACAGTATCTGTTAGTACTTGATTAATTAGAGTAAAATATATGCGTCGTATTCTTTGTCATTGTCTCCGCATTATTTCAATGCTAGAAACTTAGGTACAAACTGTTTTTCCATATTTAAATCTTTAGCAACCAGCCATAGGGTCAGTGAGAAAGAATAAGAAAATACATGCATTTGAGTTCTCAATATTACAAATAGAATGTTGTTTCGCATGTATCTTATCCTTGTACCCCATATGATCTTAACTGAAACATCTAGTTAAACTGATAAGAGATCATTTTTCCAATTGGTGATATCTATAAAGGGCCTGTAACAATAAAGTAGTTTCTTTGAATGCTTTTTTCAGGTTTCATTACAAATTTGTGGTAACTCAATCAGTGTATCTATTAAACACAGTAATATATATAAACTATCACTCACTTCACAAAATGGTATTTCACTTGCTGGATGTACAACTGGTTGACTACGACGAGGTTTGTAAAATAATCTATCGAATCCCTCATCTGATGAATTGATTCCGGCATTATTATTGGAACCATTTGCATGATATCGATTATATGTATTCCGACCGCCTTTTCTTAATAAGGACGATGATGATGAACGAGCAACTGTACGTGGTGAAGGGGCACAACTGGTGGACAAGCCAGTAAGACGATTTTGATACTCAAGCTAAAGTGAGAATTACAAACAAAATATATTGTGAGTAATAATAATAATAACTGAAGTTCGACAATGAAGTAGGCAATCAGATTGCATTATGGCATGTTATACTGTGATGGGTGATTGTTAAATGATAATTAACAGAAATTAACGGGTTTACATCAAGAGTTTGGTCAAATTCATTTCACTAAATAAACATTCTACAAATTGGAATATTTAATAATAATCTCACACCTAATGCAAGATGTTACGAATGAGATAGTGAAGTATGGAGTAATCTTATGTAGAGATGACAAGATAATTTTATTAACAATGTTTGTGGTGTAGCCAATAATTTATGAGACTCGACAAAGTGATGTACTATAAAACGTAGGAGTGTTCATAAAAAGATAACAGCCAGTCAGTCAATTACAACGTAGGACCAGACACATACACACATCGGTCCAAGTTGCCACACGTCATTAGCACAGAAATATGAACACCAGATTCGTAGAGGCAGTTAACTCAATGGCGTAATATATAAAGAAAAGATTTTATGCAAGGATAAAGTACAGAAAGAAAGATATGAAGGGATTTTAATCTCATAGTTTAAAGGAAGACAAAGAGTGTATACACCAACGCTATTGTGATCGATTCTCAGCCATGTCACCAAGAGTCTCCAACCATTGATTACGATGGTTGCACGGACCCTAACCAAGTAATCTGTATCTACCAACATGGCTCAAACCAGAAGTTAGTGACTTCAAGCATTGATGTCACGTTTCGGTTTGGCCGTTCCTAACTTTCTTCCAACTATCTCCAACACTGGTTAGTATTGCGCGTCGTGGTAATCGGTGGTTGGACATACGTAACGCATGGCCCAATCATCTCAGTCGATGAAGATTTACAACCATATCGACAGCTTTTCCATCGTTCCCTAATACCATGCGTTTAACCTCACTATTACTTACCCGGTGATCCTAGCAGACGCCAGCAATATTTTTAAGACACTTGTGGTAAAATATTAGTAGCTTACGAGTATCTTCTACTCCAAATGGAAATGTTTCACAGCCGTAAAATAAAATAGAACGAATTGCCGTGCAGTATACTCGTCCCTCATTTATTTATTTATTTGAACACATAAATATTGGTACAAGAGAGCGCCAATATATATGCGCCACACAAAACAATGGAAATTCGACGAGAGATAAAAAAAAAAACTAAGAAGCGCAAAAGAAAAGGAGAACGATAACGAAGAGATTGGTGTAAGGTAGTGTGGTAGTAACGAGGGAACGGAAAGGTACAAACACAAGCCAGTCCTTTGCAGCTTTCTTTCATACCACGACACCATGTCATGCACTGATCACCTTTCCGCTTTTTCCAACCAGTCCCAGAGTCGGCAAATAATGCACGACGTGGAATTCTCTGGGAAGACATTCGTAGAACAGGTCCAAGCCACCGAAGTCGGTGTTTCAAGATGGTGACACCAATTGAATTATCATCTCTGTGCCCGAACACACGATGCCGAACTTCTGCATTACTGACATGGTGTTGCCACTGAATGTCACCAATCCTTCGGAGACAGCGATGATCGAACACAGAGAGTCGTCTAACGTCCTCAACTCGGAGAGGCCAGGTTTCACAAGCATAGAGCAAAACTGCTCTCACCGACGCGTTGTAGATCCAACCTTTTACAGCCAGACTAACATCACAAAGGCGTCAAAGATGGCCCAGATTGGCATAAGCCACTCTGGCTTTCACTATACGTGCATTGATCTCATCACTCACACCCCCACCAGCACTTATGCAGCTACCCAGATACACGAACTTCTCGACTACGTCTATCTGCTCACCATCCAGGGTGAGTACAGGAATGGAATCCTGCCAGTCTTGTAGAAGTACTTTGCACTTCGAAGGTCCAAAGCACATACAACACCTACGGACACTGATTGCCAACTGATTAAGTGCGGATTGCATGCCTTGGGCATTATCGCACAGTAAGACAATATCGTCCGCATACTCAAGGTCGAGAAGTCTTTCTCCAGGCAACAGATCCACACCACCATTACTTACATTCATCAGAGCTGTTTCCAGAATGTCATCGATGGCAAAGTTGAAGAGGAATGGTGAGATTGGGCAACCCTGACTAACCCCACTGCTCGAATGGAACAATGGAGAGAGGTGGTTGTATGCCCTCACTCTACCTGAGGTGTTTTTATATAGGGCCTTTAGGATGTTTATAAACTTCTCAGGCACACCCTTCTTCAATAGACAATCCCAGAGAACAGTCCTGTCCAACGAATCGAAGGCAGCCCTGATGTCAAGAAACACTACGATTGTTGGCCTTTGATAAGTATGGCGATGTTCTAACATTTGGCGGAGGGTGAAGATATGATCAATACATCCTCGACCAGAACGAAACCCAGCCTGCTCCTCGCGAGTCAATCTTTCTCGGGTTTTGAACAACCTACGAAGTATGACGGAAGCCAATAGCTTGGACGCAATCGGAAGTAGACTTATCCCCCGATAGTTGTTGCAGGAACGACGTGAACAATTTTTAAAGATAGGGACAACTATCGACTCATTTCATGACGTTGGTACACTCTCTAATTCCCAAACCTTTGTAAACAACGTCGTCAATTCCTTACTCAAAAATTCACCACCATCTTTAAAAAGAGCGGAAGGTTAGTCATCTGGGCCAGGTGATTTGTAACGCTTCAAGAGTTGGAGTTCCTTGCGGACTTCCTCCTCGTTTGGCGGATCAGTCGTCAGCGGCCATGGAGGGCAGGACAGTCTGACCGATGTTGCCGGAGCAGCAGGCCAGTTGAACTGCCCTTTGAAAAATTCTGCCCATTGTCCAAGACGTCGATGGATGTTAGTGATTGGAATCCCATCATCCTCGCAGATTGTTTCACTCACACCAGACTTCTTGCTGCCAGTGGCTCGGATGAGTTGGAAGAGCTTCCGGTAGTTACCAGATGCAGCTGCTGCTTCCAGCTCATTAGCACGCTCCGACCACCAGGCTTCTCGGTCCTTACGCAAGCTTTGCCCAATTTCCTTACGTAACATCCTTCGTTTATGGTCAAACTCACGGTCACCCGGAGTAGACCGACGGGCTTCAATAAGTTGTAAGGAACCAGAAGAAACCCAGTGCTTATAAGCGGGACGTTTCGCAAACCCACAACTGACTGTTCCCGCCATTTTCATGGCGTCATGCAACTGCAACCAATGCTCATTTATACTTTTCGGTGGAGTGGTAGCTAGCCTAGAGGCTAGCTCGGTTTGATACTTACTAGCAACAGAAGTTGCAACCAGCTTGCTAATATCAATCCGTTGATGGCGGTCACTTCGTTGTCCACTGAAAAGTAAGGCAAGATTGGCGCAGACCAAGACATGGTCAGAGTCCAGATAGGTATCCCAAAAGGAGCGGCAGTCTTGTACACAACCACGCCAGCGGTAGCTGATCGCGATGTGATCAATCTGAGTCCAGGCTTGAGATGCAGAGGGAGGACGCTAGGTGGCACATCGGCGATGACTGTGCCGAAAGTTAGTGCTAGTCAGAAACAGGTTGTGGTCTGTGCAAAGTTGCAGTAGACGGTCCCCGTTATCTGACCTGCGACCAACGAGTCCCCATCGGCCACTTAAACGACTCTCTTCTGTGCCTAGACGCCCGACCTGAGAATTCAAGTCTCCGGCTAGTACTACAATATCTGTCGAACGCAATTTCTGGAGAAGAACAGATAACTGGTGGTAAAACTCATCCTTGATTGCATTCGGGCTGCAATCTGTTGGCGCATAGGCGGAGATGACGAAAAGACATCGTTTCTCACGCCGATTTCTTCTCACTTTGATGGAACTTTCCAATCTAACAGCACATAACCGACTGTTAATGGGGATCCAATCGACTAGTGCTGCCTCAGCACTAGCGCTTAGTGCGACACCAACGCCAGCAAGACCAGACGAAGATGCCACAGGGTCCCGGGATAAGCGCACGTAAAACAGGCTTTTCGAAGCGACAGATGGAGTCTTGAATACGGGTCTCGGACAAACAACAAACATCAATATTAAGAGTTTCCAAAGACATAGCCAGCCCTATATGTTGTCCGACCTGCGCTAGTGTGCGAACGTTGAAGGCAGCCAGTTTGAATGGTGCACGTGGTTTCAGAAAAACTGCTTCAGTTCTCGTATTCGGTGGTAACATACAATTTTCAACCGGACAATGACTCGAGAACGTTTAGATACAGTCGAATTTCCACCAAAGACGAGCCGCTGTATAAGTATAAAACAGGGTGAATAATGTGGAAAATAATAATAATATTAATAATGACAATAATTGTAATGATAATAATTTGAATCAATTTATTGTTTTTCGAAGCGAGAAAAGTAATTTCCATAGACATGAAGAGTTCATCATTCGTGTGTGGGCTGTGATACTGCCCGGGTGCCCAAACCGAAGCAGGTGGTTATCTTAGGGGGCCACACCCCGAGCCTTTGACCTAATGGTCTAACCCACAAGGCAGTGGAGCATCGTAAGGAGATGCAATCCCATGGTAGCGGGTGACCAACGATTGGTTCATACGCCATTTGTTTCCGCAGGATACTGAAGAACATGTGCACCATTGATTTGTGATCCGGTTAAAGCGCCGGACATTCGCTTTTCGTCCTCTCATTTTCGTAAACAACACCCCCGCCACGAGAAGGCAATGAGTAGGACTTACCTGGCAGAGGCTGTATACGCGCGGCCGTGTGAGAGTATTTCGAGAGGGAGAGCTGACTCTCCCCACTCTCGGTCGTACCAAGGCATTCGGGGGGAGAATATATATATGGCTTGAAGTTGATAATATTTAAATGGATAAGGAGTTAACACTATAACTTCTTATATATCCCTTATTTGTTTAATAACATTTTTTATGCAGTCAAGTCTATACTTTTAGTCACTAAATGACAAACAAACTCCGCTTCTCTTAACATTCGGTTTGAGCAACCGAATAGTATCACTATGACACACGTAAAATGTAACTTAAAAATAAGTACACCAACCTGTATCTAGTAGAATTACTAATACAACTTCACGAATATATATATATATATATATATATATATATATATATATATAT